AAGACCTAACATGTGATATACACTCATAACCTACCCATTTCATATGTCATATTTTAGGTTGAAAGTAAATCTAAATAGGGGAAACTCTACCTCTCGTAGCGTGAGCCCACGTACTGGAATTTCGAAGAAACCCAATTTAACTTCCCAAACTTTAGGCCTAGATTATCGTCTTTGATATTCTTTCAGAGAAAAATATGATATTTAGTGTGGTTGCGTAGATCTTGCTGAGTAGAACAACTTTAATTCTTGGTCCGAAGCAATTAAGCGGGTCAATCTTCGTAGATTTAAGAATGAAGAGAAGAGAAAAAAATAAAATAATACTCACCTTTCTCTCGCTCACTTTCTCGGCAGCATACTGGAAGAAGAAAAGTGGAAGACTTTTGTCTTCCACTTATATATATAGTATAACTTTATTTTTTTTAAAATTTATATTTTTGACCCATAATTTAACCATTAATTATTATTTTACCCCTTAAATTAAGATTTTTAATAATAATAATACTATTTTTTTTATCGGGTTTTACATTCTCTCCCGCTTAAGGAATTTCGTCTCCAAAATTATACNAGGCCTAGATTATCGTCTTTGATATTCTTTCGAAGAAAAATACGATATTTAGTGTGGTTACATAGCTTGTTGAGTAGAACAACTTTAATTCTTGGCCTGAAACGATTAAATGGTTTAATTTTCGTAGATCTGAAGAAGAAGAAAGGAGAAAAATAAAGAAAAAAAAACTCTTTTCTCTCTCTCACTCACTCGACAGCCGGTTGGAGGAAGAAAAAGTGGAAGACTTTAGTCTTCCACACTTATATATATATATATATATATTATAAATTTATAGTTTAAAAATTTACGTTTTTGACCCTTATATTTACAATTAGTTATTATCTAGGAAGCACGGATATTTCAAAAGGGTCAAAGTATCCATATCGGATACTTTTGGATACAGATACGCGTCGGATATGTACTGGATACGTCTGAGAAGTATCCTAAATTTTTTTTAAAAAAATTAGTTTTCGGATACGGTCGGATACGTTTTGGATACGCCTAGGATACACATAAGGATACGGCAGGGTATTACTCGAATTTTTAAAAAGTATAGGGGCATAAGAGGAATATATTTAGGCCCTTATTTGCAAAAAAAAAATATATTATTAAACTAAAAGTCTAAAAGACTAAAACCTGTACACTTTTATTCCACAGCTCGTCAAGTCCCCCATTCCCTTCAGTCGATACTCGACGACGATCGTCTCTCTCTCTCTCTCTCTCACTCACTCACATTGACGATCGACTGACTCTGATAATTAGTTATTATTATGTATCTTTGATAGAAGTGTGATTTACTTTATAAATCATAATTATTACAGTAAATATAATAATAAAATTTTAAAAAATATATATTTTATGGACGTATCCTAGCCGTACCCGTATCCTGTTTTTTTTGGTTTTGTCGTATCCTCGTACCTGTATCGTATCGTATCCGTATCCGTGCTTCATAGGTTATTATTTTACCCCTTTAATTAAGATTTTTAATAATAATAATAATAATTTTTTTTCCCCGAATTTTACAATAATAACAAAACATAATTGTTCTTTCGTTGACATTAACACCCATGTTTTTCAATCGTCACAACAGAAACTGTACATACGTATACATAACTATCCCTTGATTTCAAGAATTGATCCAGAAACCCTAGTTGTAGCACTATCCTTTTTGTTTTTAACAAAGTAGGAGGTACCCAAGCTTTTTAGAAAATCCCTCTAATTTTTCTACACGCATATGGTCCTCAATTATGGAATACTATATGGGTTGGGGATGGCGTCCCAAGACCATTTCTAATGACCCTTTGACAACGATATACAAGTCCACGTTCAATTCCCTAAGCTTTATGCAACAAAAATTATTTCCCTGAACTTTATGCAACAAAAGTTATTGGTTGATGATTGTACCATTGGTGATGGATTGATGTTTTCTTTTCTATCTCAAGGAGCTACGACATATTATTATTATGTGGGGTTTTTTTTGGTTGGCCTTGATTTTGTTTCCAAATCCTCCTTCATTCGGTTGGTTGGTTCAGATGAATCATCGTCTTCATCTACTATCAGATCCCTTTTAGATTGGACCAGTCTATAACGAAAGTAGGTTATCAACGCGGTGTTTTTGTTGGACAGAAGGCACGACGCCCAAGCATCAACATCTCATCTGACTCACGAGTTAATGCAAACCTTCATCATTCTTGGACTTNCGGTGTTTTTGTTGGACAGAAGGCACGACGCCCAAGCATCAACATCTCATCTGACTCACGAGTTAATGCAAACCTTCATCATTCTTGGACTTTGGTTGAAAATTTCAACTGCAATTTAGCCACCTCACTTGATATTTCACTATCAATATAGACTTCTCCGGGGCATTTTCTAGGAACTGCGGTAAGAAGCTTAGCTTGGTTGTTTGGCTTCTTCATTCCTCTTTCCTTTGGTGTTGAAAAGTCTTGTCCATGTGCTTGCCATCTTCAATTATAAATGGGGGCACAACAAGATATTGTTTGTACCAACAGATCATACACAATCACTAGTGCCTGCTAGAAGGACTCATTTTGAAAACTTCTCAGAGCTCTTTCGAAAATTGTCATGGCAATCTTCCGCAACTTGTTTACTTGCTTCTCTGATTCTAGCAAGGTTGCTTGTGAGGGAGATGTCTTTGCAAAGAGTAATCCGAGCAAAGCCCGAGCTATTGATGAGAAAAAATCCAAGAGCAAATCCGCTCCAATTCCAATGACCTACTTCCCCGTTGGAGCACAGCTTTCGCGATTATGAAACACCATACATATTTCTCGACCCAAGTCATCTTTCACAAGCTCAACTCAACTCCGACTCATTCTCAACTTGTATTTCATCAGTTCTTTNATCTTTCACAAGCTCAACTCAACTCCGACTCATTCTCAACTTGTATTTCATCAGTTCTTTCATTTTTGTGAAAATTAGTTACTGTTGTTCAACTCTATTCTCTCTTCAAGTTGAAATTTTTGTACTTGTTTGATGGTGTAGACCAACTTTTTTGTTAAAGAATCATTAATNTAGACCAACTTTTTTGTTAAAGAATCATTAATTTTTTTTTTTATTATATCTATTTTTGCTGTATTAATTTGTATCTTTTGTATTTTGTTCTTTGCCTGGTCCAAGATAATAAATAATTGCTGATTGTTTGTTCTTGTATACCCTGTAAGTAGCAAAAACTTAGCTGGATATAGCTTGCATAATTATAGTTTGTTGGTGGGTCACAGCTGATGTCGGTAGATCATCTCTCATCAACTTCCAAAATACATATCAATTCAATGGTATATGCCTGTTTCATTTTAAGGAAAATCACCAGTTCAATTCAAAAAACAACAATCTATCTATTATCCAATACTCAAATGCAAAAATATATGTTACTTACTAAAAGAGGAATGATGAATCTATAATTTTACGTTACGATTCAATACGTTCAAAGTAGTTATTAATCAATGACGTTAAAACTGTTGGGATCTTATGTGAAAAACTTAGATTGATCTCAAGTTTTTTTTTTTTATTGATCCTCCTCAATTGACCCAGTTAAGTTATGACTTGATTTGATTGGATCGGACTGAACATTTACCATAGAATAATTCATAACCAATAATAGTTTCGTTTTCGGTTTTGATTTTGATTTCTCCTCTTCTGATACATTGAATCTAATTTTGAAAAAAATAGAGAGAATACAAAATAAAAAGGATAGACCAACTACTTTTGAATGCTTACTTACTAAGATAGTTGTTGTACACCATACACTAAAGTTGAACTTGACCATGACATTCATTGGATTTATTGATCATTTAACTAAGTTGAAGAACTTTTGTAAGCCAGTTTGTCAAAAAAAGTTGGACAGACTACACTGAGAGAAATAGTTGATAATGCTGATGGATTACCTCTGGCAACTGTCATTGTGGCTATGAAGATTGATGACTCTTTCAACCACTTGGGTTAGGTGACGGGGGATAAAAGTTTTTTTGAATACTCTAATTTCAACATGGATGACATAAAGAATTAATCGAGATGAATATAAATTGGTCTAGATACCCTCTACCGTTGAACTAAAAAGGAAGAAGATTGACGACAAGGAATGAACTTCACACCTTATTGAATTCGAGTTAGTAAGAGCAATATAAAATTTTTTAGACAGATAATAACCAATATAAAGTTCTCGCACTCTTACGAGCAATATAAAATTAGAATTTATTATAGTTCGATCAAACTTCATAAAATGAAATGTGGTCAAATATGACAGAATGATAAGAAATAATGCGACCAAAAATCACCGCATAACTTTATTTTTTTATTTTTTTGGGTCATAACTCTACTTTATCCAGACATGAAAAGAACTTGGAGTTTTCAGAGAGTAATGAGGCCAAACTTGATAAAATCTACCAAAGTAACACCATTGCAATTGTTATGTGTAGTACAATAATGAACTCTGACAACCATTAATGAAGGGGATTAACTTAACTGTACTCCACAGAAGACTACAATGGCTACGTACATGTGGATTGCTTTTATATAGTTCAAGAAAGGATAAATCACCACATCTTGTGACTTTTGGCTATGATGTACTACAAGTTAATACTAAAGCAACACAAGGACAATAATAATGACAATAACTTAGGTCATAAAATTAAAATAATAATAATAATAACATCGTTGCCCCACCCTTGAACCTCTTCCCCCTCCCCCTAGGGAAAAAAAAGACCCCACCAACCCCAAAAAAACGAAGAAGAAAAATTGGAAAGTTTTAGGGTTGGTACTGAATCATTCTGGTTTGATCATGCGTAATAGTTTCACATTTCATCTAGAAGTGACGGCTGTGATTTTGTTGCATGAGGGGCCCATGCTCCTCTCTCTCTCCCCCCCCAACACCGCTGACTCTCTACTCTTAAAACCTCTGATACAGCTAGAACTCAGTAATTTCACATTACGCAAATTCATGTCATTATCTCTCCCTGCCGTCCCCTTCCACTCTCTCTCTCTCTCACATAAACAGATGAAAACGTGGTGTCAACATTCTGCTCACCTACCTCTTTCTATCTATAACCAGTTTTCATTCCTCTAAGTTTCACATGGTTGTACAATTGTGGGCTCCACTTGGGCAATCGCAACACCATTTCGTACCTCTTTTCTTGGCAATGTCCTAGTGGGTCTCTCCAAAACTCACCAACACAAACAACAGTCTGATGAATCTAAGTTTGTATTACTGTGCGCATTGGGACTTCAGACATTGGAACAACAGGACATGGCGTTGAAGGCTGCAGCAATATGTATTTGTGCCAACCGTTCCCATTCTCATTCGGTTGTCACATATTTGGGATCTAAGCCTTCTGGGTCTGTCTTGAATCTTAGGTTTGAGCGAAAATGGGAGTGCTGGGCTGTGTCGGATCAGAGGGCAAAAACACCTGTTGAAGATGAGAAACCACCGGCACCTGAATTGGGTTTGCCTGAGGAGACTGATGAGACTCAGATCATTGAAACCAGGGGGCTTCACAAGGATTTGAACGCTTTGCCTAGTGAGTTAGCTCAATCAAAATACATACAAGCATATATATATATATATATATGTCTATGTTGGTGTTGATTGTAATTTAATGATATGAGCTTGATAATGCAAGTTAAGATGGGGAACCTAAAAAGATTGTATTTTTATTGTAGTTTTAGCCTGAGAATAATTATCAGTTTTTGGGCAATTTATAGATTGCTGTGGATTGAATTGTTCGTTATATTGGTTTGTAAATAGCATTTTTGTAAATCCACTAGAATCTGTGTGTGTGGGGATTGACTGTGGTTCTATGTAGTCGTGCAGGCACTATGAAGACTTGGTTTGGGGTTTCTAAATGTCATTTACAATTACATTATACATTTGTCCAAATGTCATAAATTTGGACAAGTAATCAATTTCCGCACAACTAGATAACTTCCACCAAGTAATGTAGCTGTGAGGAAATTGATTACTTGGTGGAAGTTATCAAGTATCTTGCCTCGTAGGATTTGGACTTTTATTTTTTAGATCAATAAGTTGCCTTAAATGGTTCTTAAAAAATTTGAATCACTTCAATTATCATAAATTTCTGATTTCCACTAGAAACTTTAGGAATCTACCTTGTATGATGANGTTCTTAAAAAATTTGAATCACTTCAAATATCATAAATTTCTGATTTCCACTAGAAACTTTAGGAATCTACCTTGTATGATGAGAATGCAATTTTTCCATAATATCTGACTTCATATTATGTAGCAATTTTAAACGTGATCTATAGAAATGTATTCCCTGTTTGCTTTAGGGTCCATTAATTTAATCTGTTATGTGATTCCTTCATGTTTGTTTAAATGCAATGTCATAACCACCGTGTGTCAATAAATTGAAGGGCCTTTGTCTGCAACGAATCTTTCTTCTTCTCCTAGTGGTGGTTCGAAGGTGCGGGTTGCTTATCAGGTGCGGCATAACACATTCTTAGTGTCTTACATGTTCCCAGCTTTGGTGTTATTCTTATATTAGTTTTGTGCCTAGTGTAGGGGATTCCAGGTGCATACAGCGAGGCTGCTGCACTTAATGCATATCCAAAGTGTGAGACTGTCCCATGTGACCAGTTTGAGGCCGCATTCAAGGTTTATTGATATTGAATGCGTGCTCAAATTGTGTTCAATTGATTTACCCTTGTTATCACCTTAGTATTGATTTCCTTTTTCAGGCAGTCGAGTTGTGGTTAGTGGACAGAGCTGTACTTCCTATTGAGAATTCTGTTGGTGGAAGCATCCACCGTAATTTTGACCTTCTCCTTTGTCATAGGCTACACATAGTAGGGGAAGTGCAGTTGGTTGTTAACCATTGCCTTCTAGGGTTGCCTGGTGTCAGAAAGGAGGAGCTAAAGCGCGTGTTGAGCCACCCTCAGGTGACCATTTTCGTTTTATTAATTATTTATCAAGTTGTACCTAGTATACCCTTCTCCCCTCCAAGCAGTGTATTTCTTTTCTTGTTAAGTTTTCAAGGACAATTTTGGACTGTGCAATGAGGTATGCATAGTTATCAAAATTGTATGATTCACGATTCGATTCATACGATTCAGTTCAATACAGGTATAAAACGATTCGTATCTTATATGAGAATCGTTTTAAAGTTGAATCGCACCTGACTCGTACGATTTGACTTGTATAGCACGATTCAATTACTTTTTTTTAAAACTCAATTTTTTTGCAAAACGACGTCGTTTTGTTCACTAAATAGTAAAACAACGTTGTTTTATTTGCAAAGGAACCAACGCCCTAATAAAAATTTTATCTCTTTGCTCGTTCTCTCTTTGACGTCGTCTAAAGCTCGCCTTGTGTTGTCTAAAGTTAAAGGTCACGGCTAACGCTCTTGCATCATCAGTTGTTTTTTGCTCTCAATTCCTTTATGTGTAATTTGTTAGGTTTTAATTTTTTTGTTTCAAAATGTTGGCTTGTATGTTTTCTCTCAATCAATTTTCTTATTATTCTTTTTTCATTCATGTTTGTAACCTAATCTATATTGGGTATCACTATTTTGATTTTTGAATAGCCATGGTTTTTTAATGAACTTTTTTTTCAAGTTGTTGAATTTGAAAATGGTTAAGCAAAAAAATAAAAATGAAGCAAAAGGCTAGCGTCTTTCCATTTAGATGACGTGATTATGTCAATTGATTATTTTTAGAATGCAAAAATGTTCAATATTAAATATCTTGTTTATTTTAAATATGTAGTATTATTTTTTTATTTTTGTTTACATTTTGTGTCGAATTTTACGATTCATGAATCGATACGATTCACGATTCTCAAATTTAGAATTCTGATTCACGATACAAATCGTGATTTGACAACTATGGAGGTATGTTTTAAATGCCAAGATGTGAGTCGCGTCAACGTCTAGACAAAATTATTGGCAGCCCTTTTAGTCCTTTTTTTAATTACAGATCATGCAATAGAAACTACTTTATATGGTGTTAGAAAAAGGGAAGTTGTCATGGTTCAAAGTATCGGCCGAATTGTATCCGTCTCGGCACATTTGGAGACGATACCATTACACGATATGTAAAAACCCTGAGTCTCGCACAACTCGGCCTAGTCGTCCCTGTCAATCCCGAGTCGTCGAAATAACGTCACCGAATTGGCCGATGCAGTTTCACGACGCCGCAATATGACCCAAATTTTTCGTCATGTTCAATATTTTTTTTTAGGTCGTATCACCTGATACCGCGCCATAACGCCGCAACTGATGTGTCTCAGAGCATTTCGAGCCGATGGCTGATACCGTGACCTTGAACTATAGAAGTTGTAGTAGAAGTCCAAGAACATCTGCACTGAAGATTTTAGTTTCACATAATAGGTAACTGTTGGGGAGGGTAGCAGAACCTGATGTTTGGACTTCAGGATGCATAAACTGCATAAATAGGTTATTATGGTGATAACGGTTTTGTTTTCTTACTGAACATTAGGTTCTTAAGTTTATATGCTATTGTCAAGATTTAACAATTAAACCTATCTTGTTTTTAGGCACTCGATCAATGTGAGGTATCGCTGAACAAGTTAGGTGTTATCAGAGTTAGTGCTTATGATACTGCTGGTGCTGCTCAGGTAATCTGTGATAGTCTTCTTTGCCTGTTTTATTTTTACTGTAAATGACTTTAACTTTGGGACAGATTGTAGCCTCCGAAGGCCTGAGAGATACTGGAGCAGTTGCCAGTGCTCGAGCTGCAGATATCTATGGGCTTGACATTCTTGCTGAAAAAATCCAGGTATTGCCTGTTACCCAACTTCAAATCTGCTTGGTGCCCATGATATGTGACATTTAATAGAGAACAATGGAGAAACATGGTTCATATAACCGATCCCAAATAGTTGGGAAAAAGGATTTGTTGAGATGAGTTGAGTTTGGGCAGTCAATATCATGGCTATTAAATTGTATTGCTCCATTATCCTGCAAGCTTCTCTCGATTAAGTCTCTCCTTTGTTCATTTTGAGAGAATGTCGGACTACATTTCACTGTGTCGGGTTTTTTTTTGGGGCCTCCCCCCCTCCCTGGAAACGTTGTCTGACTACTGCATGACACATGGCTCTGCCAGCTCATTAATTCTTGTTATCCTTTAAAATGATTTCACAGATTACTATTTTTGACATTTGTAGAAAGCAGGCTTGTATAGCCAAAAAAGGCAGGGACTAAAGGGGAAAAAAACACTGTGAGCACAGATCTATATGGTTTTTTTCTTTTAATAAAGAAAAAGTGTTATTTAATGTAAAGCCAAAAAGTACCCGTTCAATCCAAGTTTTTAAAGAGCTTCTCATGTTAAAGATTTGATCAGATGGTATTCTCGCTAATCTTTTTCCACTTTTATGGGTTACTGTTGTGTGTGAAATTTTCTGTGATAGAAGTGTCCTTGTGTATTTTAACTTGGAAACATCCAAAGTCAGGTGTGCTTGTGAACCACCAGAATCACCAAAAGTGTACAATGTTTTCTCATATGGTTAATATTTCTAGCTAGTGATTATAATCCATCAAAGTTGTTCCTTAATTTGGTGTAATTCTACAATGTATTGGCCAGGATGACTCCGATAATATTACTCGTTTTCTGATGCTTGCAAGGGAACCTATAATCCCTGGGACTGACAGGCCCCATAAGGTATAGTATTACTCCTTCTCCAGCCTAATGTATATTTTTGAAAGCAAGTTAAAGAGGATTTTTTTTTTTTGATTCTCAGACAAGCATTGTCTTCACTTTAGAAGAAGGCCCTGGAGTACTTTTCAAAGCCTTGGCAGTGTTTGCTCTGAGGGGCATTAATTTGTCAAAGGTAACTTCCGGAGTTTGGTTCTGCGAATGGTTTTTCTTTTTTTATAGGCTTTGAATATTTTTCTGTCCCAAATGCAAGTTCAGATAGAGAGTCGACCACAGAGAAAGCGTCCATTGCGGGTTGTTGATGACTCCAACAAGGGGAGTGCCAAGTGAGTGCTATTTCCTTTTGGAACATGTGTAGGAATGGTGGATGCCACTTTGCAGAAATATATAGGCAGATGGCTGTTTGCAAAAATAATGGAAGCAATGTGATATTGTCATGGCATAACGTAACAATATGTGAAAGCCGAATCAATTAAAGGAGAAGCAACTAAGGTCTAACCTATAAATAGAATGAAAAATCTATTTTTGTACACGAGTTGAAGAATATACTTTATGTATACATTTCCTTGGGTAAATGTTATGGGTGTCAAACGATGGCCTTTGCTTTTATAGCTTGTTCCTTATGTGTAGAACTCACGAAAGTATAATGTTGTGCATTTTCATCCACAGATTCTTTTGTAGCTTCTAGTTGAATGGGTTTATATTCAAAGCCTCGAAAATGTGCAGCATGGCTTACCAACACAATGTTCGATGATTTAGATTGTGCGCGTGGTGTTTTTTATTTTATTTATTATTTTTTTGGGGGGAAAAGGGGGGGGGGGGGTTAAGGCAGGTGGAATGGACATTTGGACATCACATGAAAATGAGATAATTTCATTTGTACTCTAAATTCCCTTAAGCTGAGTTGTTTTCTATTTCTTTGCCTTTGAAATGGTTTTTTCCCCACTAGACAAAGAGTAATCTTATATTTTCATCAATTGACAAATTTATAAATACCTTTAATTACTGTTTTGTATGTTTTTACTCTCTGCTTCCTGAAGTTCTACATTTTTTTAAGTGTTAATTTCTGACCTGAAACATTATAGAAGACAAAATGAAATGATTATATCCCATATCACAAACAATCGTACTCTGCTTTTCACCTAAAAGTGATTGTGTATTTGTTCCTGCTTTTTGATTGCTGAAAAATATTGAGAGGACATGTTGAAAGTGTGAGTCAAAACCTTCCAAATTTTAGGGATCTGGGGGAATTTAAATCCTCGCCCACAGTGAGTCTTAAACGTGCCGTGGCTTATTTGCATATGTATTACTGGAGACAAACATCTGTAAACAAGAGATTCTCTCCAAAGCCTTCCTAATAAGTTTCCTGAATTAGCAAGATCCTCTGTCGAAGATGAAATAAAAATAAACAAAAAATGCCAAAAAAGGCATGATAAGCTGTGTAGATTTATTTTCCTTTTATTCCTCAAGTTTTATCAGAATATAACTGGATGATTATGGAAAATGTCGTTCAACTACGAAAAAATGAATCTAGAACAAGTGTGATTGTATATGTAGATGTGACTTGAATTCTGGTGGCAGGTACTTTGATTACCTGTTTTACATTGACTTTGAAGCCTCTATGGCGGAGCCTCGTGCCCAATATGCTCTGGGACATCTGCAGGTCAGTCCTTTAGGGCCAAGGTGTATGAGAAAATAGCTGTCCTTATTATTCTTTTGCTATCTGATTATCAAATTTCTCTTCTTCAGCAAGCAGTCCTCCTCGTTGTTTTTTTAGCCTGGTCATGATACGAGTTTGTGTCTTTGTTGTGTATACTTGAAGGGGTTGGATGGCAACCAATCTTGGGATCACAGAAGGCTCTACATCCAATTCTGGGCTGTTTTTGCTGTTTATCTGCTCTATTTTATCTAAAAAAAAAATTGCAGACCAAGAAAAAAGTTTATTTCTTATAGCCATGTTCTCATTTTGTATATAGAGCAATTGTATCCACAGCCCGTTGCATTTGTTTTCATTATCTGTTGTCTTTGTTCGATGTTTTGGATTCTTCATTATAAATCTTTCTGTTTGCCTTGCTTTTGGGCTTTTATTTGATAAATTTTGTACTAACAGTATGGTTCTTTCCCTGTTTGAGGATATAATACTGTTTAGTCAGGTTAGTCATTGATCGCCTCATATGCCACCATTTAAAATGATAATTCTTGTGAATAGCATAGTTGTAGTTACAAGAGCTGCTAAATTTGGCATGTTGATTGTTTAAAAAGCAAATACTCCATTCATTTTTAACCAATCTCAAATGCTNGGTAAATTTGTAATGTTGATTGTTTAAAAAGCAAATACTCCATTCATTTTTAACCAATCTCAAATGCTCTTTTTGGTGTACAGTGAAAGCTTAGATCTGTACAAAAATTGGATTGAATGATTGCTGACTGATCTTTGTGCATGCGAGTGATGTGCGGTATGCGTACACTTTTACATTATATAAAGCATGTTGACTTCTTTTTGCAGGAATTTGCAAGATTTCTTCGTGTCCTTGGTTGCTATCCTATGTATACAGCTCTGTGGAAATGAATGCACTCCCGGGCGTCAGTTGTGTGACTTGCATTTTGGCTTGTCAACTTGCAAGAAAGAGACGGTTCAATGTTCAATTCTGTACATTAATTTGCTCCTGGTGAAGCATCTGTAGAAAGAATTTTCCCGGCGTCTCCTGAGAGCTTGCAGGTTTGGATAATGCTCCGTCAAGCAGGATCTCTTCAATTTTTCTCCTGATTCTTTTCACCTTCCTTCAGGGAGGGGTTTTGACATGTTATGATCTCTACAAATAATGAATGAAGCTCCAATTCTGAAAACTTTTGCATTCGATACGGTCTCAGAAACTGTAGGAAACTCATATTTGATGATAGTTTGCAACCTTACAGATAACTTTTGTGATTAAAAAGGCCCCAATGGCCAGGTGATTTGCTTTATTCTATTTTTTAGGAAGTTCATGACCAGTGAATGCTTAAATTGCCATCAAAGCCTAGAACAGTCAAGCAGAAGACTTGCATTCAAATTTGAGAATTGATCTTTATAAGATTGTTGATATGCAGAAACATGGAGAGTTCAATGTCAGTTGCCCGAGCCTGGCCAAATTTGTGTTGGACAGCCTTTTATTGGTTATTTGAAGAAAGTCGTAGTGTTAACAGACTTATTGAAGAAAGACCAGAACTTTTTCTGGTCTCCTGATTGTCAAATGACGTTTGACAAGCTGAAGAGAGCAATAGCTAGTGAACCAGTGCTAAAATTGTTGGATACACGTGGTCAACTCCTAGTCAATTGATATGCACACACACGCATTCGCGTGTGCCTGGCAACAGTTGGTTTGGACAGCTTGGAGGCACTTGGTCTAGTTCTAGTCAATTGATATGCACACTCTCTTGTGTGTGTATAACATGTGAAGGAGAAACGGGCTACTCCTTTCAGCAGTGCTGCCATGTTAGTTGTTTCTTAACCTCTGGAAACTTGGCCGCAAGAATGAGAAAACGAGGTTCATTTAGGATGGCAATGAGTCTTATTATATCGTGTTTGGGTCGTTAAATTTGCAACACAGCCGTGCAAATAGAAATCAACTCCTTGAAATTTGCATTCAGGCTTTTATCCAATACCAGAAAACTACTTAGTTTGTTTTTTTTCCCCATCAAAGTAAAGTACTTAGTTGAATAAATTTAAAAAACAACAATGGAACTTTGTCGGTATAATATATGACATTTTATCTTACATTTGTACGTTCAAAAAAAAAAATTACATATTTTTGGGCTCACATAGCATGCATTGTGCATCTCATGTCCGTGGTCCCTCTCTCTTACTACCACTAATAATGTTAGCTCTTTGTAGATGAGTATTCTTTTGGAGCCCCAATGGCCATGACTCTAGTACCACTACTTCATTATCTATTTTTTAATTTTTTAACGATAGACTATTCATTATATAACGATAGACTCCATCACATACCTCTATGGTTGATGTTTCTTATGTGTTGGTGCATCATGCAAATTGCTACCTTGGACTTCTATTTATGAGGGGATGTTTTGTGGTTTTGAACAAGTTTTGGTGCTTATAATATAAGCCATAAAATCCTATTGATGGTTGATATAGTCCTATCAATCAATTTTAAGAAATATTTTATAAGTGGGACCAACATGCCACACTCACATGAAAGGCTATGCATCATTAGTAGTACTGTACCAAAAAATTATCATTTTGTAAGATGAAATTATTAATTTTTTAAAGGATAAATTATTAGTTATAAATGATATCATTAATAACTTATAATAGAGATCAATCCCGAAAGTTATAATTTGTAAATGTGAAATTACAATTTATAAAAAAAAATTATAACTTTGGAAAGAATTGTGGTCGATGATGATCTTCCTTAAATAATTATAATCCCTCATTTTAAAGATATAATTTTATTATAAAAAATTATAACATTGGCTAATGGAAACTTTCCCTCACTAAAATGGTTTTTTGTTTTTTGGCCAGAAAAAACCTAGAAATTCACAAGAAAATGAGAAGAAAGATCCAAGAATAATCCAAGAACCTTTTGACCGGTGGTTTTGATCCCGCCACGTCATCAAAACATTTCGTTTATTTACGTAGCCCAGAAACTTGTCCAGGTTCAATGAACCGCCTTCTCCTCCGGCCATTATATTAACCCTCCATTATTATCTCTTCTGAGGGCCTCCCCTCACTCACTGCATCAATTTTCAATCAACAAAACACATAATCACGAGAAAGAGAGAGCTTGACTAAACCCATAATGGCTTCCTTGGCTTTTACTTCTTCCACTGGAGTTACAAGCTCTTTCCCTTCATATGAACTAGCCAAAGGTAGCTACGTTACCCTTTAAATTTTTCTGGGATTTCTGGCTAGTTTTGCCTTCTAATTTGTTTTTTTTTTTTTTCTGATTCATCGTTTGTCATGTTTTTATATTTGGGTTGTTTTGTTGGGTTTGTTTTCTGTGTTTGCAGCCACGCAATTTGGCTTATGTCAGCCGTTGGACCGGCCTCATCTTCCATCGACGGCTGTGAATTTATCTAGGAGAAGGTGTGAGGTGAAGCCATTGAATGCTGAGCCAAAACGGAATGATTCAATCGTTCCTTTAGCAGCAACCATGGTTGCTCCTGGTGCGTTTGTGCTTTATTCGTCTCTCTCACCTACACACACACACACACACACACACTCATCCTGGTATGCATCTGTGGATGCGAGTTAAAGATGGGCTATTTTGATTTTTTGTTTTTGACTGGTGGGTAGTGTAGAATTTAGAAGGATGTGGATTGATGGGTTTGTCTCTAATCTCGTGGTGAATTTAACAGAGGTGGTAGAGAAAGTAGAGGTGATAGAGAAAGTAGAGGTGGAGGACTATGAGAAATTGGCTAAGGAGCTTGAAAATGCTTCCCCTCTGGAGATTATAGATAAAGCCCTTGAGAAATTTGGGAATGAAATAGCTATTGCTTTCAGGTACTTGTTCTTATTCATTCAATTTTAACAATATTATTCAGAAGAATTTTGGTTAAATCAGAATTGTTGATCTGTGAACTTTTTTGTAATTCATTAGCCTCTGCCCTGCCAAGTACTGAATATTCTGTTCTTATGGTGAATATATTTTATGTTTTGATACCTTCTTAGTACCGAATATTCGTTGCATGTGAAAGATTCTTTTCATCTACTCTGTAATTTAACTTGAATTGCGTTTTGATTGAAAACTGATGAAATTTTTATTCATTAAAGTAATGAATAAATAAAAGGGAGATAGAGATAGNCTGAATATTCGTTGCATGTGAAAGATTCTTTTCATCTACTCTGTTGTAATTTAACTTGAATTGCGTTTTGATTGAAAACTGATGAAATTTTTATTCATTAAAGTAATGAATAAATAAAAGGGAGATAGAGATAGAGATATAAAATAAAGGGTTGAATGAATTATAGATAGAGCATTAGGCACTCCACTCCACCATAGTGGTGTTTTCTGTTTGACTTGTCCATAGTTGTGGTTTTACTTTTAAGTCACTGTTCTCCTTGATGAACCGTCAAATGTTGCGCCAGACAGTGTAATGATTGAGATTCATGAAACTTACAGAAATTTGTGTATGGATCACATTGGAAAGGTTAAAGATAAAAAAAATAGTTAAAGTTGTATTTTTTTTTTAGATTTTTATGATTGTGATTGATTTTTTGGTAATGTTTAAAAAATTTAATTTTTTGAAATTCATTTAATTTGGATCCTCCGTGTAATTCCCTGAATAAGATAAAAGTAATTGTCAATATACTAATCACATTAAAACTTTGTTGTAATTAGGAATTAGTTAGGTCAATTGAGATAAAATTTAACATATTATTCTATAATATATATTATCAAACATATTAAAATTAAAAAAAAAATCAAATTTTATTTAAAAATACAGACTACAATATCTATTTTTACACAAAATTTTAGTATAAGTTAAAAAATTTATTGTAACTGAAGAATTATACTAATGTGATCTAAATTGATTTTAAAAAACTATATATGCAATTATTTTTTATCTTAAAAATGAAAAGGAATAAACTCTTCTATAAAAAAGAAAATACATATATATAGGCATAATGTTATATTTTCATATGAGATGAGTAATATTAGATTGATGAAATTTTTGAAGGGTTTTGAACACTTTATTGAAAATATAATGTTGCATATTTTTTTAAGAATAAGATAGTCAATTAAAATTTTTTATAGAAACTAATATTTATACATAGAGAATAGATAATTAAAAGAGATGTCATAGATAATTTAGAGATTTAAATATTTAAGAATATGATAGTAATTTAGATATTTAATTATAAAAATGATAGAATGGTCTTTGCAATTCTTATATAAAGTAAGTACTTTCATTAGTAGTATAGATACAGAATTATCTTAGAATTTTGGGCGTAACATTATATGCCAGCAATGAACTAACTGAACATAGCTTTCTTCCGATCATCTTTTGGTTGATCAAGCATATATGTGAAATCTTGTTTCTGAATAAGTACTTATTTTTCTGCAGTGGTGCTGAAGATGTTGCTTTGATTGAGTATGCACATTTAACCGGTCGACCATTTAGGGTATTCAGCCTCGACACTGGGAGGCTTAATCCAGAAACTTATAAATTCTTCGATGAAGTTGAGAAGCATTATGGCATCCGCATTGAATACATGTTCCCAGATGCTGATGAAGTTCAGGCCTTGGTAAGGAGCAAGGGATTGTTCTCTTTCTATGAAGACGGCCACCAGGAGTGTTGCCGTGTTAGAAAGGTCAGACCCCTAAGGAGGGCCCTCAGGGGTTTACGTGCCTGGATCACTGGGCAAAGAAAAGATCAGTCTCCTGGGACTAGGTCTGAAATTCCTGTTGTCCAGGTAGACCCTGCTTTTGAGGGATTGGAAGGTGGGATTGGCAGCTTGGTGAAGTGGAATCCAGTGGCAAATGTTGATGGCAGTGACATGTGGAACTTCCTTCGAGCCATGAATGTGCCTGTGAATTCATTGCACTCGCAAGGATACATCTCGATTGGGTGTGAGCCATGCACAAGGCCAGTCCTACCAGGACAACATGAGAGAGAAGGAAGGTGGTGGTGGGAGGATGCCAAGGCCAAGGAATGTGGCCTACATAAAGGGAACATCAAGGAAGAAAGTGTAGCCCACCTCAATGGTACTGGAAATGGGGCTATTCATGCAAATGGAAGTGTCACTGTTGCAGACATTTTCAAGGCCCCAAGTGTGATAAGCCTAAGCAGGTCTGGGGTTGAGAACTTGTTGAAATTGGAGAACCGGAGAGAGCCTTGGCTTGTCGTGCTTTATGCACCTTGGTGCCGCTTTTGCCAGGTAATCCATTTATATATGCAAAAATGGTCTGATTGTCTATAATAAGAAATGGCATGGATTTGTGGATGACTCTTAACAATTTTTTGTAAACTCTGGACAGGCAATGGAAGGATCATATGTTGAATTGGCTGACAAGTTGGTAGGGACTGGTGTGAAGGTGGGAAAGTTCAGAGCAGATGGTGAGCAGAAGGCATTTGCACAGCAAAAGTTGCAGCTCGGTAGCTTCCCCACCATACTTTTCTTCCCAGGTCACTCATCGCGGCCCATTAAGTACCCCTCCGAGAATAGAGATGTCGATTCATTGATGGCTTTTGTGAATGCCCTCCGGTGATTGAAGTGAAAATATCATTTATGAAACGAGAAGGGTGCAATGCACAACAACCAGTCCAAGTAATTGGAAGGTGGACTCAGACTTGCACAATGGCAAAGAGACTGATGGAGAAGTAGACTTAAAGCTCCCCATCCTCAGTTCATTGCCTGTTGCGAATCTAACACCTGCGGCCATGTATACATCGGGCGGGCGTTACTTGTATATTCCTCATAAATAGTGTTCTGTGCTTTGGGGAGAAAATTATTCTTGNCGTAAATAGTGTTCTGTGCTTTTGGGAGAAAATTATTCATAAATAGTGTTCTGTGCTTTGGGGAGAAAATTATTCTTGTGTGTAATCGGAAATAGTCAAGTTATTATGGCTTTTTGAAATGAATGCCAAAGCTTGATTTGAGTTTTGCAAAATATAATTCTGCTTCCATCCCCTTGATTGTGAAAATCATCCTCTGGTGGATTGATCTCTTGTTTTGTATAAGCTTTTANATCAAATTTTATTTAAAAATACAGACTACAATATCTATTTTTACACAAAATTTTAGTATAAGTTAAAAAATTTATTGTAACTGAAGAATTATACTAATGTGATCTAAATTGATTTTAAAAAACTATATATGCAATTANAATCAAATTTTACTTAAAAATACAGACTACAATATCTATTTTTACATAAAATTTTAGTATAAGTTAAAAAATTTATTGTAAGTGAAGAATTATACTAATGTGATCTAAATTGATTTTAAAAAACTATATATGCAATTATTTTTTATCTTAAAAATGAAAAGGAATAAACTCTTCTATAAAAAAGAAAATACATATATATAGGCATAATGTTATATTTTCATATGAGATGAGTAATATTAGATTGATGAAATTTTTGAAGGGTTTTGAACACTTTATTGAAAATATAATGTTGCATATTTTTTTAAGAATAAGATAGTCAATTAAAATTTTTTATAGAAACTAATATTTATACATAGAGAATAGATAATTAAAAGAGATGTCATAGATAATTTAGAGATTTAAATATTTAAGAATATGATAGTAATTTAGATATTTAATTATAAAAATGATAGAATGGTCTTTGCAATTCTTATATAAAGTAAGTACTTTCATTAGTAGTATAGATACAAAATTATCTTAGAATTTTGGGCGTAACATTATATGCCAGCAATGAACTAACTGAACATAGCTTTCTTCCGATCATCTTTTGGCTGATCAAGCATATATGTGAAATCTTGTTTCTGAATAAGTACTTATTTTTCTGCAGTGGTGCTGAAGATGTTGCTTTGATTGAGTATGCACATTTAACCGGTCGACCATTTAGGGTATTCAGCCTCGACACTGGGAGGCTTAATCCAGAAACTTATAAATTCTTCGATGAAGTTGAGAAGCATTATGGCATCCGCATTGAATACATGTTCCCAGATGCTGATGAAGTTCAGGCCTTGGTAAGGAGCAAGGGATTGTTCTCTTTCTATGAAGACGGCCACCAGGAGTGTTGCCGTGTTAGAAAGGTCAGACCCCTAAGGAGGGCCCTCAGGGGTTTACGTGCCTGGATCACTGGGCAAAGAAAAGATCAGTCTCCTGGGACTAGGTCTGAAATTCCTGTTGTCCAGGTAGACCCTGCTTTTGAGGGATTGGAAGGTGGGATTGGCAGCTTGGTGAAGTGGAATCCAGTGGCAAATGTTGATGGCAGTGACATGTGGAACTTCCTTCGAGCCATGAATGTGCCTGTGAATTCATTGCACTCGCAAGGATACATCTCGATTGGGTGTGAGCCATGCACAAGGCCAGTCCTACCAGGACAACATGAGAGAGAAGGAAGGTGGTGGTGGGAGGATGCCAAGGCCAAGGAATGTGGCCTACATAAAGGGAACATCAAGGAAGAAAGTGTAGCCCACCTCAATGGTACTGGAAATGGGGCTATTAATGCAAATGGAAGTGTCACTGTTGCAGACATTTTCAAGGCCCCAAGTGTGATAAGCCTAAGCAGGTCTGGGGTTGAGAACTTGTTGAAATTGGAGAACCGGAGAGAGCCTTGGCTTGTCGTGCTTTATGCACCTTGGTGCCGCTTTTGCCAGGTAATCCATTTATATATGCAAAAATGGTCTGATTGTCTATAATAAGAAATGGCATGGATTTGTGGATGACTCTTAACAATTTTTTGTAAACTCTGGACAGGCAATGGAAGGATCATATGTTGAATTGGCTGACAAGTTGGTAGGGACTGGTGTGAAGGTGGGAAAGTTCAGAGCAGATGGTGAGCAGAAGGCATTTGCACAGCAAAAGTTGCAGCTCGGTAGCTTCCCCACCATACTTTTCTTCCCAGGTCACTCATCGCGGCCCATTAAGTACCCCTCCGAGAATAGAGATGTCGATTCATTGATGGCTTTTGTGAATGCCCTCCGGTGATTGAAGTGAAAATATCATTTATGAAACGAGAAGGGTGCAATGCACAACAACCAGTCCAAGTAATTGGAAGGTGGACTCAGACTTGCACAATGGCAAAGAGAAAGATGGAGAAGTAGACTTAAAGCTCCCCATCCTCAGTTCATTGCCTGTTGCGAATCTAACACCTGCGGCCATGTATACATCGGGCGGGCGTTACTTGTATATTCCTCATAAATAGTGTTCTGTGCTTTGGGGAGAAAATTATTCTTGTGTGTAATCGGAAATAGTCAAGTTATTATGGCTTTTTGAAATGAATGCCAAAGCTTGATTTGAGTTTTGCAAAATATAATTCTGCTTCCATCCCCTTGATTGTGAAAATCATCCTCTGGTGGATTGATCTCTTGTTTTGTATAAGCTTTTAGAGTTCAATTTGTTGATAGGATAAAAGGAACAAGGCATGGTTCAAACAATTAACAGCTGAGTAATGGTGTGAACTGCCATCACCAGGACATGGTAAATCTTGGTTAATGACATAAGAATGCCGTTTATCTCTTGATAATATGATTAGCACTCGATAAAACGATAGATTAAGAGTACGATAACAATTATTCTATTCATTCCAGGCCTTGATTTTTGCATCATGATCCACCTAATATGGGTATTATGATTGACATACGGATTTTGAGAATTATTAGGAGGGAATTTTTTTGGATTTTGGAAGACGGATATGAGAGAATTGATGTTTGTCACAACTTGGGGTTAGAGGAATACTAAATGCATTTGCAAACATCAAACATCAAACCAGTCTGCTAGTAGCTAAAAGTAGAGATTAGAGATTCTCTACCTTACAACACTGCATGGTGTTTTCCAAACGATATCGTTTCAAAAACAAGTCCCCAATTGATGAGCTACAATTCTATGTTGATCAAGATTTCTTATAAAATTTTACATCTAGTTTTCACCATCAAATAAATGGGTCTTATTAATATTCAAAGACTATGTCATACTCCTTGGGATGAAAAACTTAATAGAAAAAACTTGATAAACATGAAATTACTCATTAATGAGAATCCTATACGCCTTTAGGAAGTTCTAATAGGAAAAATACTATGCATCCTCATTATTTTTATAAATTTNTCAAGTGATATGCATAGTTTTCACCATCAAATAAATGGGTCTTATTAATATTCAAAGACTATGTCATACTCCTTGGGATGAAAAACTTAATAGAAAAAACTTGATAAACATGAAATTACTCATTAATGAGAATCCTATACGCCTTTAGGAAGTTCTAATAGGAAAAATACTATGCATCCTCATTATTTTTATAAATTTATGTAATTTGGTTACACTGTGTGCTGTTGAGCAGCCTATCAAGGTGGTTCAACAACATTTTACCTCTCATTATAGATTCTACACGTACTTTTAGTTGGTGATCACTGAAAAGAAGTAATTTAACCCAAATCAGTAATCCAAGAACTATCCTAGTAAAGTAGTAATAGGTAGGGTTCATTATATTTTTTTTATAATTTTGTTCTTTAACTTTGTACAAGTTTTTATTAGTCTAATCAATGTCTCCCATCAAAAAAAAGTGACCAAGTATGTTGTATCATTGTTAGAGAAATGATTCGTAGGCATCACATGATGAGCACATGTACTTTTCTGGGAAAAAAAAAATTACTACTATTGTTAGGGTAGATTGAAGTTGAAGGGAGAAACGGATACAAACTTTTCAATGGCCAAAGTGGTAATGATACAAATTTTCAATAGAAGAAATGTTATCCTAAGGGATTGTTTAATGGTACTTTGATTAGATTATAAGTGTCTTAAGCATAGGTCATAGGTGTATGTCCTTTTAAGACTATTGTGCGGGCTTGATCCTGCACGATATATAAAATATTGGGAACAGATCTCTCCCCTGGTGAACTTTGGGTGAGCCGGTCGAGTGGCCAAACACACTGCTCGGAACAGCCTACAAGGAACGGTGGCAACCTGGAACGGCAAAGGAAGATCCTGGGAAAGGAAGAACGATCCTGTACGTACGAAAGGTATTCCCTGGAACAAAGGAGAACGAGTTAGAAGGGCGCCGGAGTGTTTTCCGGCGTATCCCCTCCGACGGTCTAGTCAGTCTTTGAATGAGAGAGAGGAAGGAGAAAACACTGATGAGGATAATTTGTAGTAGTGAGTTTGTGATTGCATACCNATTGACATACGGATTTTGAGAATTATTAGGAGGGAATTTTTTTGGATTTTGGAAGACGGATATGAGAGAATTGATGTTTGTCACAACTTGGGGTTAGAGGAATACTAAATGCATTTGCAAACATCAAACATCAAACCAGTCTGCTAGTAGCTAAAAGTAGAGATTAGAGATTCTCTACCTTACAACACTGCATGGTGTTTTCCAAACGATATCGTTTCAAAAACAAGTCCCCAATTGATGAGCTACAATTCTATGTTGATCAAGATTTCTTATAAAATTTTACATCTAGTTTTCACCATCAAATAAATGGGTCTTATTAATATTCAAAGACTATGTCATACTCCTTGGGATGAAAAACTTAATAGAAAAAACTTGATAAACATGAAATTACTCATTAATGAGAATCCTATACGCCTTTAGGAAGTTCTAATAGGAAAAATACTATGCATCCTCATTATTTTTATAAATTTATGTAATTTGGTTACACTGTGTGCTGTTGAGCAGCCTATCAAGGTGGTTCAACAACATTTTACCTCTCATTATAGATTCTACACGTACTTTTAGTTGGTGATCACTGAAAAGAAGTAATTTAACCCAAATCAGTAATCCAAGAACTATCCTAGTAAAGTAGTAATAGGTAGGGTTCATTATATTTTTTTTATAATTTTGTTCTTTAACTTTGTACAAGTTTTTATTAGTCTAATCAATGTCTCCCATCAAAAAAAAGTGACCAAGTATGTTGTATCATTGTTAGAGAAATGATTCGTAGGCATCACATGATGAGCACATGTACTTTTCTGGGAAAAAAAAAATTACTACTATTGTTAGGGTAGATTGAAGTTGAAGGGAGGAACGGATACAAACTTTTCAATGGCCAAAGTGGTAATGATACAAATTTTCAATAGAAGAAATGTTATCCTAAGGGATTGTTTAATGGTACTTTGATTAGATTATAAGTGTCTTAAGCATAGGTCATAGGTGTATGTCCTTTTAAGACTATTGTCCACAAATTTATTCTCTTGTGTGGAGAGACGATGTTACACAAACTGGAAATCGTAATGCTGGGATCCAGGAGATAGGATTGGAATCCAAGAATAATGTCAAGAAGGAGGATGGATTGTTCTCAATCACAACCTAGTCCCACCATACAAGAGAAAACTCTAAAAAAGTCCCCATTATTTATTCAAACTTTTTTGCAGCAACCAAGGTGGAAAAGAAGAGTTACCCTAAAAAGAAAAAAGATGGGAAAAAAAAAAAAAGAGAGCTTTAAGATTATTAGTTCAAAAAAATTTCAAACGTGTCTCGTTCGAATGAAGTATGGATGATAGACTATAGGACTAAATAATTACTTTTTGATGCTACATATCAAAAAATTATTTTAACTTAAGAATTTTTTATAATTTAATCCGGTAAAATTATGATAAAATAAAATTATTTGTGATTGGTAATATCATCGGAACTAAAATTCTTTATGAAAATAGGAAGATGGGAGGAGTTGTTTCATCAATTTTGGTGTCGGTAGCAAAAAAAAAATCGAAAACCAACCGTGTAAAAAAGTTCACAACTTTTTGGTCACATCCAGCAAGACCCAAGACCAAATTTAGTGGATAAATAGACCAGCCGTAAATTTAAATATTTTTAATTTATCGTAAGTGACTTATTTTTGATTAAATTAATAAAAAATTAATTACCGCAATATAAAAAAATAAAAGTGAGATGTAGCAAGACGGGAAGTCCGAAGTTCACTGGTTTATAGTTCAACCAATGTCGTCTTGTTTCTCGTCATGTTTAAACCTTGCCGGTCAAAACCACCCCATACCCAACAGAAACTAAACTTTTCAAGTATAATGCAAGGCTTGGTTGGCTGAACCACAACCAAAAGATGAAAAGAACAGTCTTCAACCTCGAGCTTCTCTTTAATGGCTAGACTAGCTCTCTTCACCATCTTCTTCCTCTTCATCTCCCTCTTATCCACGGCACACTCTACAGTCAAACCAGGTATTTTCCCTCAAACCCGCTTCAAAACATTCATCATACATGCATATAGATGTAGGAATTGATGTGTTTTGCAATGAAAATGATGGAATTGATATCAAAGTCCAATCCCTTTGCAGAGATTAGGTTAAAACAGAAGAAAGATGAGCCATATGTGGTAGTGAAAATAAAGTCATCATACATTCATATGGATGTAGGAATTTGTGTATTTTTTAATGAAATTGATGGAATACAAGTCAAATTCTAATCTTTTGCAGAGATTAAGGTACAACAGGACAAGGATGAGCCATATGTGGGAGTGAACATAGGTACAGATGTATCAAACTTACTCGCACCTGCAGATTTAGTTTCATTTCTTCAGCTACAAAAGATTTCACACATACGTCTCTATGATGCTGATAGTGAAATCCTCAAAGCACTTGCCAAGACCAAAATTAGAGTCATTATCAGTGTACCCAACAACCAGCTTCTTGCAATTGGGTCCTCCAATGCCACTGCCGCCACATGGATCGGCCGCAATGTCGTGGCCTACTACCCACAAACCCTCATTACCGCCATTGCTGTTGGTGATGAAGTCTTGACCACCGTACCCAGTTCAGCTCCTATGCTTATGCCAGCAATTGAATCTCTTTACAGTGCTTTAGTGGCCTCAAATTTGCATACCCAGATAAAGATTTCAACTCCAAACGCAGCCTCACTTGTTCTTGACCCTTTTCCACCTTCTCAGGCCTTTTTCAATCAAACCCTAAGTCCAATAATTTCACTATTATTGCAATTCTTATCGAGAACCAAGTCGCCTTTGATGATGAATTTGTACCCTTACTATGTGTTTATGGAAAACAAAGGGGTTGTTCCCATAGATAATTCACTTTTCAAGCCTTTGACACCCTCAAAAGAAATGGTTGATCCTAACACTTTGCTTCACTATACAAATGTTCTTGATGCTATGATTGATGCTGTTTACGTTTCTATGAAGAATCTGAATGTTACGGATGTGGTGGTTCTTGTTACTGAATCTGGGTGGCCTTCAAAGGCTGATTCCAAAGAGCCTTATGCAACAATTGACAATGCGGATACATATAACTCGAACTTGATTAAGCATGTTTTCGATCACAATGGGACGCCATTACATCCGGAAATCACTTCTAGTGTGTACATATATGAGTTGTTCAATGAGGACTTGAGGTCACCACCAGTATCCGAGGCTAACTGGGGTCTATTTTATGGGAATTCAACGGCAGTGTACCTGCTTCATGTGTCTGGAATTGGTACATTTTTGGCTAATGACACAACGAATCAGACATATTGCATAGTCATGGATGGGGTTGATACAAGAACATTGCAAGCGGCATTGGATTGGGCTTGTGGACCGGGAAGGGCGAATTGTACAGAGATTCAGCCAGGAGAGAATTGTTACCAGCCTAATAATGTGAAAAGCCATGCTTCTTATGCATTTAATAGCTATTACCAGAAGGAAGGGAAGGCTGCTGGGTCTTGTGACTTTAAGGGTGTGGCCATGATCACCACCAGTGACCCAAGTAAGTTTTATTCTTCAATCACAAGCCCAACAACATTTATGTTACCTTGAATTTCCCTGAAAATGAGGCACAGCATTTTAATTTATGGTGAGTAATTAGTTGTTATAGTAACATTGAGTGTTAATGATATATTTTGAGTTAAGGGTTACAAATTTGTGAACAAACAAATTTATTGACCACTCGATGGTTACGAGAGTATTGTATGGGAAGAACAACATTGTTTATTAATCACTGTCTTTGGAACATTGTTTTTTTCTTAATGTAATGTCTTAGTTTTTTTCGGTAAGTAATGTAATGTCTTAGTTGGCTAAGGCTATGTGTCACTAGAATATGTCACACAGTGGACCATTCACCTTCCACCCACACAATGGTGGGTGTTCGCAATTCCAGAGCCTCCAGAAGTACGTTAGCTCCTTGTGACTGANTATTTTTGGGCACAATATGATTGTTTTTTTCTTAATGTAATGTCTTAGTTTTTTTCGGTCAGTAATGTAATGTCTTAGTTGGCTAAGGCTATGTGCCACTAGAATATGTCACACAGTGGACCATTCACCTTCCACCCACACAATGGTGGGTGNTTTTCTTAATGTAATGTCTTAGTTTTTTTCGGTAAGTAATGTAATGTCTTAGTTGGCTAAGGCTATGTGTCACTAGAATATGTCACACAGTGGACCATTCACCTTCCACCCACACAATGGTGGGTGTTCGCAATTCCAGAGCCTCCAGAAGTACGTTAGCTCCTTGTGACTGAAGGGTGGGGAAATGCCCTGGTAATAGGATTTGCAGCTCAGAAACAGAGGCTTATGATTTTATTTCCACCATTTGTCAAATTTGGGTTCCATTGGCCTGATATATCTAGAAAAACAAGGCCATTGATTATGTTTTGAGTTTGATATTGCCCTTAAAATGACGACTGTTTAATGTGAAGTATATAAGGTTTTTGGGGCTCCACTTGTTTTGTGATTTTGTGCAGCCTACAAAAATTTCAGGTCTGAATTTCTTTTGTTTTTTCCCTCTGTGGGGAATTTTTGCAGGTCACGGGAGTTGTATATTTCCTGGAAGGTGAGCAGAATTTCTGTAATTTGGTTGTATCTCTTTTTTTTTTTTGGCACTCTTCACTATTCCCAAAAATAATTGGTATGAATTGCTTTTTGGTGAAGAACTATGCTTTGGTCAACAGTTGATGAGCTCTCTATGATGGGTTCATAGGACACTTTTATTCTTACATAGCTATTACATAATTGTGTGGTTGCAGTAACGAGATAGACAATAAAACAGGCCAGGTGGTTAACTCAACACAAGTGAGTGGTGCAGATGCAATTCGATTCATTGGTCTCCATGGCACTCTAATAAGTGCATTCAAGAAGAGTTCATGTGTTCTCTTGGGCTTCACCTTTGCTCTGTCATTTAATTCATTGCTTCTATAACCAAATGTTGAGGTACACAAATAATTCACCAAATATTGTCTACAAACATGGTTTTGTATTATTTTAGTGTAATTTACTTTGATGCTGTTTGCAGAAAATAACTTCATGGGTGATTATTCTTTTGGACAAATGATCGATCTTTTGCTGGCCTCCTGGGGTAAATATGTTGTAATTAGTGCAATTCCTTAAGGGGGTTTGTACCATATCCTGCCCTGGTAGCAGCACACAAGGCACCAACATAGAGAAGGGCAATTTTGGGGTTTAATAATGGTGAAGATGAGCAAGTTGTATCCTTCAAAAAGCATTAATCTCTTCTTTTTTTTTTTTTTTAATTTCTCATATGCTGTTCTTTTCTACATTGGTTTTGTATGTATGAGGAATTAGTCCTATAATAAAGGCTTCCCCATTTTGGTAGTGATGGTTGCTTCATTGTTGTGGTTGTGGGGTCACTGAAAGGTATCAATAATGGAGAAAAGATTGGTAAAGTCATACATTGATCAGTTGTTGCAGTCCATTAATGTAGCTGGGTCCTAGCTGGTATGGTCTCCATTTTCATCTCGTGTGTTGAGGAATTTGTAAGTTCTCATTTATGGTATTAATGGTGGATTAGCGATTGCTCATTTGGTCTTGTTTGCTGTTTAGTTTAACGGACAAAGTCGATCAAGCACTTGCCGTGTGACCTGTTGGTTCTAAGCAATGTCTTGTGCGAAGCAATGTGTTAGGAGGCACTAAAATGGAACTTTGGTCAGATGTGGGTATCAAATTGCACCGCTGAGATGTCCAGTGAATTCTTGGGCATTAGAACCCTAGCATTTAGGTGAACTTTGGGAATGAGATGTAAAAAAAGGGAATCAATGAGGTCCCACCACCACTTGCAAACACACCTAAATGGGAGTAAAGACCTGACTCCTAAGTCTCAAATGACATGTCCTTGATTCTCTGATGAATTTACTGAATTGCTAAGATTGACATTGTCTTTTACTTCAGTTTATCCTAATTGATTTCATTGAATAGCAACTTATACTCATTTAGATGATAATTTGAGCCAGTTGAATCTCATCTCTCTCTTGACTCCTGAGTCCTGATGTGACCAAAACTGAGCTTCAGCTACGATACAAACTGAAGAATCACGTTTTGGCCTGAACTCACTGTAGCTACACCACCTGACCTCTAATGGCAGTGAAAAAAAGAGTTCTTTGTCCCAAAAGAATACAAAAAAAAGTGAAAGCTGTGTTGTCGGTGTTTCTCTAACTCTTGTCCCAACCACCACTGCTGACATACAACTTTATATCCAGAGTTAACATTCATCAGAATAATGGGCAATATTTCCTTGGTTCTCTCTCTCTCTGAAAATATGGTGAATTGATCCATGAAATAATTTGTCTGTTATTTTTGCATTTTGTTTTCACATTCCAAATAATTGCATAGAAAAGCTAGGTACAAGATATTATTATCGCCTGAACAATTAGACATCTAACCCATGATTGCAACGACCCAATTGCAAGAGCGGAGTTCTACCAACAAAGTTATATCTCCCGGGCCAAGTGGAGTATGCATAANAATGGAGTATACATAAAGGAGTGAAATGCTTTTCCTATTCTTTTCCACGGCCCAGTTGGACTATCCTGGAGTTGAACCAAATACCTCGCCTGTGAAGTAAATCTTATTCGAAGTTGAGAAGACTATTTTCTAATGGAGTTCTTTTTTATANACTCTTGTCCCAACCACCACTGCTGACATACAACTTTATATCCAGAGTTAACATTCATCAGAATAATGGGCAATATTTCCTTGGTTCTCTCTCTCTCTGAAAATATGGTGAATTGATCCATGAAATAATTTGTCTGTTATTTTTGCATTTTGTTTTCACATTCCAAATAATTGCATAGAAAAGCTAGGTACAAGATATTATTATCGCCTGAACAATTAGACATCTAACCCATGATTGCAACGACCCAATTGCAAGAGCGGAGTTCTACCAACAAAGTTATATCTCCCGGGCCAAGTGGAGTATGCATAAAGGAGTGAAATGCTTCTCCTATTCTTTTCCACGGCCCAGTTGGACTATCCTGGAGTTGAACCAAATACCTCGCCTGTGAAGTAAATCTTATTCGAAGTTGAGAAGACTATTTTCTAATGCAGTTCTTTTTTATAGTTATTCCAAATTAAGTAAGGTTAAGACCATGCCAACGAGTTGTACCAAAGTTTATAATTTGGTAATGATTAGTTATAAAACATACTATGCCAAATTAAGAATCACAAGATATTGTATTGAAATTTTTAAGTTGGTAGCCATTAGTTACGATGCATATTAGGCCAAGTTAGGACTCAAATTTTTTCTACCGATTCTAAATTATTTGCTCTATAAGAAATTAACTATTTCCAAAAAGAATAGGGAGAATTATATCGAGGTCCTGAGGTTTGTCGTGTAATTAATCAAATCTTTGAAATTTAAAAAATTATACATAAGCGCCTTAAAGTATTTAGACTCCTATTGTTAATTTCTGTTAATATATCAGTTAATAAATTATATTTAAATCCCTTAAATATAGAATATCAAATATTTTAAATTTTATAATCAAAATTCATGTTATATTATGATATTTATTGAAATAAAATTAAAAATAAAAATTTAATTTTTTCTTACAAAATTATAATTGGTATATAAATTACTAAATTATCCTAATTAAAGTTAGAAGATATTGTGTCAATTACAGTTTGACCCCTTATTTGATTTTTTAGTTTTATTTCAATAAATAATATAATTGCATACCAGTTATGATTTTTAAGAATAAATTAAATTTTTATTTTTGATTATATTTTAATAAATAACATAATAGAACTTGAGTTTTGGTTGTAAAATTCATGTTCTATTATGAATGACTTAGGCTTTTTATTTGACTTTTTAGTTTTATTCAAATAGATAGTAAAATTGTATAGTAATTATGATTTTTCAAGAAAGAATTGGATTTTTATTTTTAATTTAATTTTAATAAATAATACAATAAAATATTAATTTTGACTGTAAAATTTAAAATATTTGATATTTTTTTCTTTGATTGAAATATTTTTGATCTAAATATAATATTTTAAAATTAAAGGATTAAGTATAATACGCTTATAAAATTCAGGAGATCTGAATATAATTTATTAATAGATATATTAATATACATTAACAACAAGGGTTTAAATGTTACTAATTTATAAATTTTAGGAAATTTATATATAATATTTTTAATATTAGTGAGTCTGAGCGACGTGATAAATTTTAAGGAGTTTAAGTTTAATTCTCCAAAAGAATATTGGTACAATGTAAGCTACGGCATTTGACTGCCCATTGTAGCTGCTCGNACAAAATTCAGGGGATCTGAATATAATTTATTAATAGATATATTAATAGACATTAACAACAAAGGTCTAAATGTTACTAATTTATAAATTTTAGGAAATTTATATATAATATTTTTAATATTAGTGAGTCCGAGCGATTACGTGATAAATTTGAAGGAGTTTAAGTTTAATTCTCCAAAAGAATATTGGTACAATGTAAGCTACGGCATTTGACTGCCCATTGTAGCTGCTCGTGAAGAGGAATTCCTCCATTAACTTTGATACTCTAAGCTTCGTAACTTTACGCATATGGTGCACCGTCCTACACTCTCACTGACAACTCACAAGCCATATGTCTCTGTCTCCTTCCCTCCCTCGGCTCTTCTTACAAAAGCCTACACAAATCATATACAAAAGAGAAAGATACGGAGTATTGGGTATATGTACAGAGAGAGATAGAGAGTAGTGTGAGGTTCTTCAAGAAGTTTTTTTTTTTTTGGAAGTTTTCTTCACGAAGTCTTGAGAGGTCTGAAAGAAAGTAGAATTTGAACAAATGAGAAATCAGAGAACTCTCTGTGCCTTCATCATATTTCTTGTAATATTTTCTCTACATTGGGTTAATGGTGAAGACCCATATATTTTTCACACTTGGAAAGTTACTTATGGTGATATCTACCCTCTGGGTGTTAAACAACAGGTACCTTCTTTCACTTCTTGCAATACATACAGAGATGTATATGTAGATATACACATATCTCTGCTCATCTGTCTGTGTTTGTGTTTCTGCATTCTCTTTCTTAGTTTCTGTTTCTTGGCTTCCATTGAATATGGGTATTGATCAAAGTGAGAAATGGTACTGCAGGGAATCTTGATAAATGGGCAGTTTCCAGGGCCACAGATTGACTGTGTTACCAATAATAACTTGATTATCAGTGTCTACAATTACTTGAATGAGCCATTTCTCATTTCTTGGTAAGTTTATTTTCAATTCTTTTAATTTGTGTTCTTCATCTGTTTCCATTTATACCTATGGGAAGATTATGATTCTTTTATATCATGGATTAATGGACTTGTCATAACTAGTTTCATGTAGTTTGATACTGGATCTACTTTTGCTTCTCCATTTTTCACACTGGTGATTATGCCCCTCTAACATTTAACAACCAAAACATTTTGTAACAATGGCGTCAAAGGACATCACTGTCATTTTGATAGAAGATAAAGGATACTTCCAGTTATGGATTTTTTTTTTGTGGGGTGGGGGTTGGAAATAGAGGTAAACTGTGGTTGCCTTTTGTCCATGGGGTATGGCCTAGTCATTGCACCGATCGATAGTAATCAATTTTTTCTTACCAAATGATGTGCCGTAATAGTCGTTATAAGATGTTACTGGAGTTCCTTGATCCAATGATCCACATGAATGGCAAGAAAAATTGGTTAAAATCTAATGTAAGAACGTGACTTTCTGTTTAAAATGGTGGTCCTTGTCACATTTATTTTTAGGAGTTATTGAATGGACAATTTGCAACCCACCATATTAAAATCTTGTGTACTGCTCAGTACAGAAGGGATATCACATGCTATTGTTAGATCTTTAGATCTCTCATCCATGATAATGTTTTTTTTTTCCTTTTGTGTTTCATTTATTCTATTTAAGTATATCTAAGACTATAAGACAGGCAGTAGTGGTATAAACTAGCGTAGGGCCCAAAGTTATGTGTCTTTTTTCCACCTCTAGTACATTACAATCACAATTTATTTTTTCAACTTTGCATCTATTATCTGACCTAAATAAACAAAAGCCAATTTTGTGTTGAAAAAGCCAGTGAAATATATTTTTTTTCGGTAAGTAAGTGAAATAATTTATTATACCCTACAATATCATATTTTGGTTATAACCATGTACAAATTATACCTTGATATTACTTACAATCTACCAAAGAGGAACTACAACATTTTTGAGGTTAAGCATGTTTTGTGCAGTGCAGTTGCTTTGTTTTCTTGTCCTTGGTTGATTTATCCTCAAGTGTCTTATGTTTTCTACGTAAAGGCCTTAACTATCTCTGGATAAAATGTCTGCAGTTAGTAGTATTTGGAGAGACTTTCAATCTTGTATTTATCGAAGATATAAAGCCTGAGCTATGTAACTTGCATTTGGGGGGACTTTCAATCTTACATTTGATAGAGGTTGGTCTGTATGAATACAGAGAAAGTGTGACATTCCGATATAACCATGATTAGTGGAGAATTAGAACAAGACGGCAGATAAAATAAAAGGTAAAGATGTTTGTAATGAAATATGGGGTCCAACTTGTATGAGTTGTGAATCTTCTTAATGAAATGAAGAGTTTACTTGTTCTTTGGACGTGAGGAATGTCTTCATTGTTGCTTATGAACTGGACAATGAAGACATTGGGATCTCTTCCTTTTGTCCATTTGTTGCTTGAGCTTTGAAAATTCCCCTTGATGAAGCAGTACTATAAAATACATTTATACTTATTCTCACCGTCTCTGTGGCGTAAGTTATGTTTGGTCTGTTGCAGCTACTAGACAGCGGAAATCACATTTCTATCAATTTAACATGTTTCATGGTTCTTCTGCAGGAATGGCTTGCAGCAGAGGAGGAACTCATGGCAGGATGGAGTCTATGGCACCAACTGTCCAATCCCACCTAGGAAAAACTTCACTTACGTCCTCCAAGCAAAGGATCAGATTGGCAGCTATTTTTACTTTCCCTCACTTGCATTCCATAAGGCTGCTGGAGCATTTGGTGGCATAAGAATCTGGAGCCGTCCTAGAATTCCTGTGCCTTTCCCTCCTCCTGCCGGAGATCATACCATCCTAGCCGGGGACTGGTTCAAGAGAAGTCACAGGGTGAGTTTCTATGTAGTTCACTTGACGATATGAGTCACTTGAAAAATAAACATATTCATTCTGTGAATATCTCTTTGGTCTTATAGGAGTTGAAGTTAATCTTGGATAGTGGTCACAATCTTCCCTTCCCAGATGGACTTCTTATCAATGGTCGTGGGTGGAACGGGTACACATTCACTGTTGACCAAGGTGATCATAAATGAAATTCTTAGTATCACTTCATTTTCTTAGTGAAATTCTTAGTATTACTTCATTTTCTTGGTCATTCTATTTTAATCATTTGCCTTAATTTTTGGATTTTCCACATTCATAAACTCAGTGTTGCTATAATTTGTTTGTAGGTAAGACATACAGGTTCAGGATATCGAATGTTGGCCTTACAACATCTATCAACATTCGAATCCAGGGACATTTCATGAAACTTGTTGAGGTAGAAGGATCGCATACGCTCCAAAACGCGTACTCTTCCCTTGACATCCACCTTGGGCAGACTTTTTCCTTCTTGGTCACCGCTAATCAGCCTGTGAAGGATTACTACATTGTTGTTTCATCACGCTTCACTTCTCCGGTGCTCACCACAACAGCCATTCTCCACTATAGTAACTCAGCCACCAGAGTTTCTGGTCCTGTACCTGGGGGGCCAACCACTCAGATTGATTGGTCACTCAACCAAGCCAGATCAATACGGTAATTCTAGAATATTGTGAAGCTAATGTTTCTTGGCATTAATGATGTATCTTCATTCTACTGTTGTTTGTTGCATTATGCTACATATCCTATAACGTTGAATTCACTTTCAATCGACTATTATCTGCATTTTATCTGTGTTTGCAACTTTCTTGGTTTGATTTTGTCTTAAACCCTCAACCCTTACTTTTGCCACAGATTAAACATATCTACATTGATTCTCTATGTGCTCGAATGCATGCATTTATAATGATAAAGCAGTGATCTGTTCTTGGAGTAATTTTTTCCTTCTTTTAGTCTTATGATATAAATTTCTTATACTTGTGATACGTGATCTCTGCATCCAGTTGGAACCTGACAGCAAGTGGACCTAGACCTAATCCCCAAGGCTCCTACCACTATGGAATGGTCAAGGCCTCGCGTACAATCATGCTTGCCAACTCTGCCCCATACATAAATGGCAAACAAAGGTATGCTGTCAACAGTGTCTCATTTGTTCCGGCAGACACTCCTTTGAAACTAGCCGACTACTTCAAGATTGGGGGAGTCTTTAATCTTGGAAGCATCCCTGACAAACCCACTTGGGGAAATGCCTACCTCGCAACCTCTGTCATGGGTGCTGACTTCCGCTCTTTTGTGGAGATTGTATTCCAAAACTGGGAAGATACGGTGCAGTCATGGCACATTGGTGGCTATTCTTTCTGGGTTGTTGGGTGAGCTCATTTTGCCTTAGATGGATATTGTAAGAACCAAGTATATCGTATTTTCGAGATTCTTGTGGCTAACATTTGGGATGAGCAGGATGGATGGTGGGCAGTGGACACCAGCAAGTAGATTACGATACAATTTGCGAGACACAGTTGCTCGCTGCACTACGCAGGTTTGCAGAAACACGTTTCCTTTTTCATAATTTGACACGTGTGATAAAAGGGAAGTTTTAGTTTTTCGTTTATTGATGTGTATGATTGATTTCAGGTGTACCCCAAGTCTTGGACTGCAATCTACATGGCTTTGGACAATGTGGGAATGTGGAACATAAGGTCCGAGAACTGGGCTAGGCAGTACTTGGGTCAGCAGTTCTACTTAAGGGTGTACTCCCCGGCTAATTCATGGAGAGATGAATATCCAATCCCAAAGAACGCCCTTCTTTGTGGCCGAGCATCAGGTCGCTACACTCGACCTCTTTGATCCAGTAGTGTTTGGATTCTGTTACAAGAGGGTGACAAGGAATTCAGAGAATGCAGACAAACAGAGGGACTCTGCCGGAGGATACTTGCATTAGCTCAACTCGAGCAATGAGATACAAATTTTTTTTCCCCTTGCTTTTTATATCTGAACTTTCCAGAATCCCTTTTGTTTCAGTTCTTCTCTTAAATGGCACGCGTTGTTTAATTGTTTACTTCGAATATCATTTCTACCTCAGCCATTCAATGCATAAGAACAACTTATTCTTGTTCACCACACATGGAGGTACTAGCTCATTCTGGTTCTGCAATGTTTTCTTAACACTGCTTCTTTGACAGTAAGAACCTTATTACAGTGAATGCACGGTTTTTGCAACCAATCCATAATAGGTGGCTCAGGCTAAGGTTTCTTAAGGAATGTTAATCCGGCCATCTCAAGCTTGAGTTGGGACAGTTGGTTGTCTATTGGTTGTAGCGTTTATTACTTTGGTCTTTCATCGATTTTGGTCCTTTTTACATCAAATTCCCGACTGCCTCTGGTCCGGTGGGTCGGTCGCCTTGTAACCCGTGACTAGCTTGGAGCTAGTACAAAGTCCGAGGATTTATTGGGCCATTTGTTGGTCCAGTCCGTCTTGTGAAGGACAGAGTGTGTCAACATTAGCTTAGCAGGTCGGGCTTGCACAGCATTTTCGGCCCATCTCGGCCTGATAGATTAACTTATGTAAGGTCCATGAAGGCAGTTTGATGGGTAGGCCCGTGGCTGGAGCTGGAGAATCATAAACACAAGGCTTGTGCTGTCATCCATCTATGTCTGTGCTTCTAATTTCACACCGAATCGATCACTCATGGGACTCATGGGCAATTAGTTCTCTCCAAGGCAAGTCCATCCTTCATATGCCGTGGATTTATAATATTTGTAATACCCAAATACACTTCTTTCCTAGCAACTTGAAATAGGTTTTCCAATCCTAAAAAGAGCATAATTCTAAGAATTATTAGTCTTCTATTCAATGTAATATTCTAAGAACAGGTCCAAAATTTTGATATGGGGATGCAGCCCCGGACCGTTGAAGAGCCTCCCTTGTTCATGGGCCCAAAACGTTAACTAATCAGAATCTAACAAGGCTTCGTGTGGGAGTGAGTACAAATCGAATCAGAATACAAGATATACACCGCAACATTCCACTAAAATATTTTCATGGAAAAGAACATAAGATATTCTCTCTCTCTCTCTCTCTCTGTGAACTGTATTGAATTCCCTTAACATTTTCCTACCCAACTTGGAAACAAGTGAGCAACATGTCCAGTTGAGCTCCTTTTAGATGACGATTTTCTCCATAATACAAACAAAAGATTGCTGATAACAATGAATGCAATCCAACAACAGTTTTGACCATAAACCACCGAATGCCATTCCTCCATAACCCGCAATGAAGACGGATGCAACAATTCTTCCTCCAGAAAGTGCTGATCACACCATGCAGTCATCTGCTTTATCTCTCTCTGCAGTCTGTTCTCATTCCACCCAACTTCTTTCACTGTCATTATTCTTGCTTACGATATATATTACATACACTTGTCCATACTTTTGTCAATCCCCATCAGAGAATATTCCCTTTTCCAAACCACTTCTACCCCTATTTCTCTCCAATCTTTGTCAGCATGGAGAGACTCAGGAAACAGTATTATTATGTCATCATCTACATGTGATATTTATCGTTCAATTATAGATTATGCGTTGTCAATCTTACTTAATGTAATAAGGGTGGTAATTGATTATGTTGGATGTGATAGTTACCAGATTAGGATGTGTTTGGTTTAAGTAGGAGGAAGGATTGGATTGGACAAACTCTTCCATTCATACCCATTATTGGATTAATTATAGTGATAATGTCTCGTCATCTCATGTTTGATTCAAATATTAAGAATTTGAGGATCTCATATTGATCTCATCCAATACTTTGTTTGAATGAAATATTGAATGATGGTATAAATATTAAATTATTAACGAACCCTCAAGATAAAGAGTGATCTTTATATCCTAAAATTTTTTTAGGATAAAAATGTCTTTTGTCTAAATACATCCCAATCAGTTTATTTAAACCCACCAAAAAAGTGAGTTTATTTAAAATGTTGTAAGATTACATTATTCATCCGGGTTGATATTACTTCTAGGTGATAATATCGAATCCAAAATATGTATCCAAATGAGGAGGGATAAGGTGGACCTATCATTATTTTTTTCAAGCTTTCTTTCCTAATACCTAAAGCAAACACATCCTACGGGTGTGTTTGGTTTAAACATTAAGAAAGACCGGATTAGATAATGTCGTCCATCCCTTACCCATACATTCGGCTTTTGGACTAATTATAGTGATAATGTTTCCTCATTCCATATTTGGTTGAAGTATTAAGAAGTAATAAGTCTTACATTTATTTCTTCCAATTCTTTGTTTGGATGGAATATTGAATTATGGTATAAACATTAAATTACTAAACAACCCTCAAGATAAAAAGTGATATTTAAATTCTGGAAATACTTGAGGGTAAAAATATTTTTTTGTCAAATACATCCCAATTAGATTATTTAAACTTACAAACAATGTGAGTTTATTTAAGAGGTTGTATGTGGTATTAAATACACTATTTATCTGTACCGATATTTTTTTAGGTGATAATACCGGCCTCAAAATATGTATCCGAAGATGAATAAAAGAGGGATAACATAAACCCATCATTATTTTTTCAATCTCTCTTTCTTAATATCTAAAACAAACACAAGATCTACTAGTTCATCCATTAGTCTGAATAATGATATATTAGTCGAGGATAACGTGATATCATTATTCTATTGTATATTTTCTCAACATCCCGACATGCAAATTTGGTATCAGCCATTTTGGCACTAATTGGAAATAACCATCCACATATTGCAAACGTAACCCTCCATACACGACCAACTGGTGTCTTACCAAAGGCAGACGGCAGTGACGTATCGTCAAGTCGACGTGTCACCGTCGGAGGAAAGCCGGACATGCGAAGCATGTAACGTGTCAGGGCACACGTCGACATGGAATTGATCATTTGTAGTGGGAGTAGAACTAGTTGTGTGATAAGGAATGTGCATCGTAGAAATGGTCTTCAGAATGAGGACGTTTGAATTCTAGGGTTTTTTTTGGTATGTTTCCTTTAGGACATACATTTGCATATGTCAGCGTCGCTTTCTTTGAATTTGGCCAACTTTTTACGTATGAGTTTTGTTCTATTTGTAATTTTTTACTTATATATATATATATAAAATGTGAACGTCATGAGTTTGAAATTTGGTAATCTTTTAGAGTTTGATTATAATTAATTTATCTTTCATGAATTTCTTAATTTCGACATAGATGATTTGTCTTTAATCGGACTGAAAAAATGATTAATTGATGTATGTACAAACTGACTTGTACACCCTTGACCGTTGAAAAAAAAAATCATATACTTTTAAAATCTAGCTATAGTAACCCACCAGAAAAGTAAATATGTATTGGATAATGCTAACTTGGCCGAAAAAAATAAGAATAAAAAAGGATTAAATGATGTAATGTGGATATGGTAAATGGAATATGAATTTTAAGTAAGTAAAGGTGGAATGAAAAGTAGTGTCATATCAACCCACTTCTTTTATTCCCATTTTTTGGGTATATTAGATAACACTAGGAGTTTAATTGCAAATATTTGCTACTTTTGGGTTGTGTTTGATCTAAGTAAAGTGGTTCCATTTTTCCCCATGTTAGAGATGACATCATAAGTAATACTAGGAAGAGTCTAGTCTTTTTCCCAATATAGAATGGGAGTGGGTCACAACCCAGTTGTTGTCCATACATAGAGTGGTTATAGCAAATTTGAGTCAAGGAGACCCTCCCAAAAATACAAGATGGATGCTTCTAGAAAATTTTACGTGATACCACTATTTAATAAAAACATAACAAATAAACGGATGAGTTCTATATATTCTAATAACAGTCTTGTCATGTCATTTTAAGTGAGGTTCATTTTGTCTACTTATAGATTTATTATTGAATAGTGACACCTTATATCAATAATGACGTGATCAATTATTACATTGATTTAACTGTGACTTCCAGTATTTATTAGCACTTATTATCTATTCAATAACTATGATTCATCAAATCAAAAAATCATATCAAATTTTTAAGTACAAATAACATTTCTTGCCTTTTAAAGACAATTTGTTAACAAATGCTTAATATTTAAGTTATGAAGCTCGGTTGGTAACTAAGAGCTGATAATAAGCCTTGTCATTTCGGTAGATGATCATCTATTATAAATCTCGTTCGAGAAAGGAATTGTCAAGGTGCCGAATGAATCCCACATCAATTGATGATAAGGAGTTTTGTACCATATAAGGGAGCGCCCATATGCAATTTTTCATATTTTAAGACACAACCCAAGAATGTTTCGAAATAACCCAACAATAGAATCTCTACATACCAAACATCGAAAGAAGCTTTTCACTGTTCAATTTTCACCCAATCATGAATTCATTTTTGAATTTATCCATGTCTGAAATTCCGTGTAGAATTTTCCTCCGTATAATCGAAACTTCAAAGACTAAACTGACCCTGAAAGGGTCCAAAAAAAGCTGCAAAAAATGGACAAAAACTCACAACAGTCTCCACTTAATATTTATTCTCTTTTGTTGTGGCATAAAAACAAGTCTAGTTGTCAATTCCCTTTCTCTCCATGAAGAGGTTAGACTGTGAAAGCTCTCTTACAGGGTCTTCATCTTCCTCCATTGACACCATGGGAGGTCCTACAGAGCTATCTATGAGGGTTTCTCGGCAGCGGAAAGACGATATGTTGCCGGAGATGGGTTTGAAACCCGGTGTAAGACCTTATGTCCGGTCGAAAATGCCTCGACTTAAATGGACTCATGATCTTCACCAATGCTTCGTGCATGCAGTTGAGCAGCTTGGTGGGGAAGACAGTTAGCTCTCTCTCTCTCTCTCCCCCTCCTTCCCTGTGTGTGTGTGTGTGTGGTCTTTCAAGATGAAAAAAATGGTACTTGAGATGTACTGAGATAAGACCCTCTTGAGGGTTTACTCTTAGGTATTTTGTATTTCTATATATGTTTGATTTTTGGCAGGGGCTACTCCAAAATTGCTGTTACAATTAATGGATGTGAAGGGGCTTACGATATCTCATGTGAAGAGTCACCTTCAGGTTCTGATAAAACCTACTCTACTTCAAAGGAAAGCAATGCATTTCATTTATAATGGTCAGTCCATGTTTCTGTAATTGTTCAAAGTTGTTTTACATTTTCTTCGTCATGGACAGATGTATAGGAGCATGAAGCATGAGCAGATGATACACGGTATGCAACCCCCAATACCCCCCCCCCCACCCCAAAACAAAAAAAAACACACACACACACATTACCTTTGTCACCATTGATGATCAAAAGTTAAATCCTTGTAAGAGTCTATCCCATATAACTAAGATATGGATCAGCTATAGCTTTATATAATCATGGCATATTGTTTCCAGTCCCTTTATCTTTTTAGATGGCCTTGAATTGATTTTTTTTATTTCTTTCTGATGGGGATCGGGTTAGAGTTGGTTAATCATCCTCTTTCTCTTTTTATTTTTCATCCCTGATTCTTTCTCTTCTCAAACTATTATGATCGACATCAATTTAGTTTTTGAAGGATGGTGGGATTCAAACCTTAATTTTGCAAGATTACTTGCTAGCTTGAAACCTGCAACTAAATAATAGCATGCGTCCTCCTATGATTCTGCATGCATTACACGTGTCTTGATTAACTATGTATGTATGTATGTATGTATGTTATTAATCCAACTTTGCCAACACATACATTGAATAGAGGATAATGTTTCCAATTGTAATCCTTCAATGGTTGTATGTATTTCAATTCAATGGTTACTCCTAGCAACTTTTCTTATCTATTCATTTTTTCCAACTCACATGGACCGTTAGATTAGTGCGCCACATCAGTGGATAAAAACAAGTTAGTTATATTGAGCCGCACACTATTTATTGATGTGGATTCCGGAGATAAGGTCCACCACAATTACTGAAATCATAATGACGATCGTTTTCCTACTAAGCAACAACTAGACTTGATTTTATCTCTTCCACACATAGTAATTGAGGTAATGCTTGAATAGAGTTAATTGTAAATTTTCCTTGTTATGTTGCAAAACGGCTTATGGTTCCTTTATGTTTTGTGAAGAACTATATGGAACTAATCTAACTAAATATTATAAATGTTGGAATTTCAAGATACTCCCATTACAGCACAACCTATGATTCTATTGAATTTGAGAAGTTGTTTAGGCCTCAAATGTTCCTTAAGTTTCAATCAATTTCTGTCGTGTAGAACACTATTAAATGTTTTGCAGAGAAAGTGGTATATATGACCAATTATTTATAAATGTCTGCTATGGAACAGAAGTATATGGTTGCTTCCATGTTTTGGAAAGATTATTAAGAAAATAAGAAGGAATACAAGGAAATCCGTAGATAGGAGGATAAAACAAGCTCTGTGTTCATTTCACCCCCCCCCCCCACCCCTCGCGAAAAAAAAAATGCCAAACCCCACAAACAAATAGAAGTTTGATGTTACTTCAAAAAGGTGAAATTAAACATCGATGACTAATCTTCAACACGTAACTCTAAAGAATTGGTTTAAACTACTTGATTTCAAGCAAGTTGTTGCATGAATTTGTAGATTGATGTTTGAATTTGATGCATCATTATCTGTTGCAGAAGTAGAAGCTGCAGCAAACAAGAACATTAAGATGCAAGGGATTTCAAATTTAAATTACTTTCCAATCTCCGAACACATATATCCTTGTGGCTCAGTCAATAACAATCCACTCCCGCATAGAAGCTATGGAACAGGTTACTTTGAGGAACTAAGGTAGGTGAAGCATCCTTTTTGATTTGTCATTTGTTCCATCAAAGATAATGGTTCTAATTGTCTAGAGGCTTTGAGGGTGCAATTCAAGTGGGCTAAAGGACTTGAGAGGCCATCTCGAGCTCAACTCAAGAAATAGAACCCTCAACCCAAGTTTCACCTACACTCGACTTCAACCCAAGCCTTTCGACATGAGTATTGTACATGCTTAATTTTTTTTTTTTTTTAACTTAGTTTAGCCTCAGGTTACATGACTCAATTGGCATTGGGGTTATTATGTAGGCTAAAATTTGATTAAATTCAAATATAAATCTACAAGTACATAATTGGTAATGAAATTTGAGTTCGGTTTGGATTGAACCTGTATATTGAATGATTCTGTTTCAATTCCAAAAACACAAGCCAAACTTGAGCATTGTTTGAGTTTAACTAGAATTTAAATTTATTTACTCAAGCACAACCCAATCACTATGGAATCCCAGAAATTTTTGACATAATTATATATTTGCAGGAAAGAGATGCCAGACAATATGCAAGGAAAGAAAGTTACCATGCCAAGTGGATTCAAACCAAATTCCTCCAACATGTTCAAGGACTTTCCCAATGGCTGCAATTCCCAAGTAAAATCTCTCTCTCTCTCTCTCTCTAAATCAAGGGCTCTTGGGAATAATATTCTTTTGTTTTTATCAGGGTTGCAATGAGAATGGAGGGTTAGTAGATACTACCGATTACAAGAACAAGCATTGTACTTTTGCTACAAGGACTGCAGGAGATTTTGGCAGCATAATGTCTTGGTCTTCTAATTCAAAAGCTTCAGAAACATATGTGACGACAGATGTGGATGATGTCTCTCTTGAGCTCACTCTTGGTTAATTTTATGCACATTAATGTTCCAAAAAGGGCTTAGAGCTTGTAATGTTTGCTTAATTTGATTTGCTCTTTGTCTCGCATACTTTTTAACATAAAATGATATAGCAGATACACCACAGGCCTAGGGTACCTCTTGGATGGACAACATATGTTGCTATATATGTAACTGCAAATATAAATGTATTTTATTGTTCGAAAATGAGGAACACAACAAAAGCGAAAATCGTTAATTTTCTTAGAATTAACTATAAGATGAACTATTTTCGTATTTGTTTAGAAAACTATTTAGACTTTTACACTGTACTTTTATACTGTTTATCTATATAATAAAACACATAGTAGTTTGAAAGTTTATACCTTATGCATTTTTTCCCCTAAAAACATCGCATTATACAATTTTATCACATATTCAATCATTTAACATTTGATTAATTTATAATTTTATACAATTTTTATTTCATAAATTGTCCATACACTACAGTGAACACGTGTTGAAAGCATTTTTGACAAGTTATACATTTTGAGAAAATTTGGACGTTATTTTTTTTTTAAAATAATAGGTAAAAATTAATTTTAAATAATGTAATGAAAGAAACGAAGAAATAAAATATTGTTATTTGGTATAGTGAGATCAATGTTTTAAATGTTTGAATTTTTTGTTCTATCGTGCCTTTAGACACGGGTTATGACTAATACTTCTATACTGCGAAGTTTACAATTTAAAATTTTAAATCATTTTCTGTATAAACTGTACAATGGGTTGTTTACTAAAATGTCTTTGTTAGCATGAAACCCATGAACTCCTTTAAGTACTAAAGTCATTAATGGGTTCATGAGTAGTCATAACTTGAAGGAAAAGAATATAAGTAGAAAGTGTGCAACAATGTGATAATCCCAATGATATTCATAAATGTCACCTAGAAAAGCAAAAGAAACCCTTGATCTGCTCGTTGTAAAGTCCATTTTATCAAGATGGAGTGGTGGCATTGTTGGTATCTTTCTGAATGGATATAGCTAGCTCTATAAATGTACAACCACGGGTTGTAGATGACAACATGCCTGAATTTAAATTCTCACCAAGTGTCATCTTCATTTCATTCTCAAACATCTATAAAAGCTCTTGTGTCCTATGATCCAATCCCACAATCAACATTGCCTCTCTTGATATAAAAAATGGCAACTAATATTCTTTTTCTGATGATTTTTGGTGCATTTGCCTTCACCATCAATGCTAGGAGACTTGTGATCGAAAAGGGTGTAATTGGAGAAGAGAAGACATTCTCCAATAACTTTCCTAGTTATGGTGGTGGACTTGGTGGAGGAGGTATTGGATTGGGAGGTGGAGGAGCTGGGTTTGGTGGTGGTGGAGGTGGAGGGTTTGGTGGTGGCGGTGGAAGTAGCCTTGGTGGTGGATCTGGTTTTGGTGGTGGGACTGGAGGAGGCTTTGGGTCAAGCATTGGAGGCATTGGAGGAGGTGGTGGTGGAGGGTTTGGCGGAGGTGACGATGTACTTGGTGGTGGATATGGTGCAGGAGGTGGTGGAGGCTTTGGAGGTGATCTGCCATAAGTTCACAATATGTGTTTCAACTCAATAAATGCTACCACTAGTTAGGGGTTGTTCATCTCATGCTAGCTTTTGGTGGTGTTTTTCCTTATTATGTACTGCACCAATGTGAAAAATAAGTTCATAGACTGTTCTTGTAATGTCTAATTATTCTTATGCTTGCCAATGCTATTTCCTTGATTTGTTATATCTGTCTTTCATGAGAATGTAGAAATAAGCTTTGGTAACCACATATTTCTTAACTTCTAATTTAACAAACTAATTTTTTTCACTTTTCACTAACAATTTCATATTCGAACATTGTAATTACTTAATTAGTGTATACTTTTTGTTAGAGAATAACATACTGCAATGGTCGGATAAAATCACTTCATAATCGAATGTTGTAATTACTCAAGCTTTGTTTGAAATCAGTTCATGAACAAAAGTTCAGTTGCGTCAACCCATAAGATATAAATATAACAAACTTTAGTAATTTACATTTTTAACAAAGATTAAGCAATTTATCACTCGGCTAGACTCGACTTGACTAGACTAGGTCAAACTCCTTGTAATTCAAATTTTTGGAATTGTATATTGGGCCACATTCTATGAGGCCCAATAAAAATAGAACTTTGGAAGCCCATTTATATAATCCTTTCAAATTTGTATGTGAGTCTCAACCTAACCCAATCAATCTCGGTCCGGTAATCCAATCAAATTTGGAAGGGTCTTCGAAAGCTGGTACACTAAATTAAACATAATTACAAAAAAATATACAAAAAAAATTATTTTGGAAAGAAGTACACTGTTAAGATACAAAGATGTAATTGTTTATTTTGTAAAATTTTCTTTTCTAAAAAATGTAACGAGAAATTTATCTTAATCGTTGAAATTTAGGGACATTTCGTAAAATGGTTTTAGGAATATATCTTAATTAATTAATTAGATACACAATGATAATGGTTAATCGCTGAAATTTAGGAATATTTATTCGCGAAGCACTTCATCTTCGGAAAACATTTGGCCTTATTCTTTCTCTCCAAAAATCACTTTATCTTTCTCGGCGATAGCCCTAAATTTGTTCCCTGAACATCTATAGGATTTCATCTTTGAAGGAAAAATCCTATTGTTCAGCCCATTTAATGTAAAATCGTCAACCACATCTATTTTTTGAGGATTTGTTCGTCATTAGAAGATATGTACAAACTTCAATAATTGAAGATTAGAACCAATTGTTGAAAGTTGATCGTTGGTTTATGTGAAATAAGATGTTTTTGCCATATTAATTTATTGTATGTGAATAAACTGTGTGTATCTCCTAATTGTTTACTGTGTTTCCCTCATAGTGTAACAAAAACAGTGTAACAATACATTGTAACAAAAACAGTGAAACAATATATTATAACAAAGATAGTGTTCAGTAATTTTGTGGATATAATAACAAATTCAAAATAGAGATAGACTGTTTGAATGAAATTATATACAAATATATGTTTGACAAAATGTAATAGTACAATATTTTGGGTAAATATATTATTATATTGTTATTGTTACACTATTATGATATTTGCATATTAAAAAATAGAATAATCACCTTTAAAATGACAAACATAAACTTAATGGAGTCATAAATTCAAATCTTGTAATTGCTTAGATTAAATGATAAGAATGAAATAATATTTTCAGACTTGCACTGATAAATGACTTCTAGCCCGAAGAAGAAGAAGATAACAAAAGATATTATTGTAAAATTTAAAATTCAAACCAACTAATTTATCCTCAAAATAAATGGAAGAATTAAAGAATCAAATCTTTCATTAAATTAGGAGATTTTTACTGCATACATTTATACTAAAAGGAAAAATGGAAGGATCAAATCTTTCATTAAATTAGGATATTTTTAATGCATACATATAATCTAAAAAACAAAAATCAATTTCCAAAAATAAATTGCATGAATTAAGGGATGACACAAATGTCAAAGAAAAATTCGAAAATTTTAAATTCTACTTGGACACAAATAAGAACTAAAATTAAGGATTTTTTCCTCTATAATGTTTTTTGTATATTTTTTTATAATTAACTCTAATTTGATATAACTCTTTTAATTTACAGTTTTTGGATTTATATATTGGGCCACATTTCAGAAGGCCCAACAAAATCTGAAGTTTAGAAGCCTATTTATATCCCTTCCAATCTTCATGTGAATTTCAGCCCAACCTAATCAAACCCGGCCCAAACAATATCACCACAACTACCTGGCTAGCTCGTACACACACGAACCCTAGCGCACAGCAAAACCCCTGCTCCTCTCTCTCTCGCACTCTTTCTTTCACACACACACACACACACACACACACACAGAGGCACGCACAAATGGCGGACGTAGTACAGTATAAGCTGGAGCGCATGGTTGAGGAGCTCGAAGACCTGAAAGTCCGAGGCCTTTTTTCCTCACTCGAGCTCGCCGAAATCGTGAAGCAGAGACGCAAATTGGAGTACAGGCTCAAACGTCACAGCCCTCTAAAACATGACTTCTTGGAGTACATAGAGTACGAAAAACAGGTCGACGCCCTTCGCCGTCTGCGCAAAAAGGCTGTGGCGAGAAAGTTGAAGGAAAAAGGGAATGAGAAATCGAAGAAATTGAAGAAATCTAAAAAATCGATTTCGGATTACGCGGGAGTTTCTAGGATTGTTGAGATTTATCGATTGGCTACGAATCGGTTTAAGGGAGATCTTCAGCTTTGGTTTCAGTATTTGGAGTTCTGTAGAGAACGTAGAAACAGAAGAATGAAGCAGGTATACAGAGACATGCAAGTGTTTACTTTGTTACTCTGTGCGTTGGTTTTACTATATATCCTTTATGTTACTTGAAATTTTTACTAGATTGAGCTGATTGCTATGTATATGTTTTATGTGCATGGTATGAGGATTATGGAGACGCAAGGATTTCAAAGTTTTGTTTTTGTTTTTGTATTTTTGCTAATTTTCGTAGCAATTAAATCGAGATGAGTAGTGGAGTGCACTAGGAGACCTGATACGTTCTTGTTCGCCAGAAAAAAAGTCTTTAGTTGTTACTCTAGAAAATTAATATAACATGTGAAACGTAATGTTTGGACTAAAAGTGAGGATGAACTTGATTTGGTCCTAATTAAGTGAATAGTGCAAACTCGAACATGCCATTTTTTTTCTGTGTTTACTTACGTTCTTAGAGACTAAGAGGAGTCTTTAGTTATTAGTACGATAAGTTTCTATTGAACATCAAGTCCATTCAGGTGAAATTGATTTGTTAGTTGTAAGTATGATATAGAATGAGCTTGACTAAGCATCAACGGTCTTGCTGAATAGTTGAAGGTTGATAGAATTTGTTGGACACTTGATACTTGTTAAAAATATAAGAAGGGTTAGGACCAGTGGCGGAGCTATGTTTGCTGGTGTGGGACCCTACTTTTTTTTAAAAAAAAAAATTTCCGACTTTTCGAGAACTCTGTACTATGGTAAATCCATCTCTATATTGAAATTGATACATTGTCTCCCCTTAAAATTTTTAAATTTGTATCCCGCATGGAAAATGTTCACTAATTTTTTAATAGTAGCAATTTTGCAATGTATTACTGGGTATGTTGATTGGCATTCTCCAATTGAGTTGAGCTCCACATGGAAACAGGTTTTATCCACTAATTGCTGCAGATACCATCTTGTTTTTATGTATTTGAATGTAAATTATATTGTAAGTTTGTAACAGTACCTTAGGTGTTGATCACGCACCCACCGCGTATCACACATTGCACATAGTGAAAATGCCATAGTTGACTAAATAACCATATGGTGAGCTTCATCTGCTTCTGTTAGTCATACTANCACACACACACACACACACACAGAGGCACGCACAAATGGCGGACGTAGTACAGTATAAGCTGGAGCGCATGGTTGAGGAGCTCGAAGACCTGAAAGTCCGAGGCCTTTTTTCCTCACTCGAGCTCGCCGAAATCGTGAAGCAGAGACGCAAATTGGAGTACAGGCTCAAACGTCACAGCCCTCTAAAACATGACTTCTTGGAGTACATAGAGTACGAAAAACAGGTCGACGCCCTTCGCCGTCTGCGCAAAAAGGCTGTGGCGAGAAAGTTGAAGGAAAAAGGGAATGAGAAATCGAAGAAATTGAAGAAATCTAAAAAATCGATTTCGGATTACGCGGGAGTTTCTAGGATTGTTGAGATTTATCGATTGGCTACGAATCGGTTTAAGGGAGATCTTCAGCTTTGGTTTCAGTATTTGGAGTTCTGTAGAGAACGTAGAAACAGAAGAATGAAGCAGGTATACAGAGACATGCAAGTGTTTACTTTGTTACTCTGTGCGTTGGTTTTACTATATATCCTTTATGTTACTTGAAATTTTTACTAGATTGAGCTGATTGCTATGTATATGTTTTATGTGCATGGTATGAGGATTATGGAGACGCAAGGATTTCAAAGTTTTGTTTTTGTTTTTGTATTTTTGCTAATTTTCGTAGCAATTAAATCGAGATGAGTAGTGGAGTGCACTAGGAGACCTGATACGTTCTTGTTCGCCAGAAAAAAAGTCTTTAGTTGTTACTCTAGAAAATTAATATAACATGTGAAACGTAATGTTTGGACTAAAAGTGAGGATGAACTTGATTTGGTCCTAATTAAGTGAATAGTGCAAACTCGAACATGCCATTTTTTTTCTGTGTTTACTTACGTTCTTAGAGACTAAGAGGAGTCTTTAGTTATTAGTACGATAAGTTTCTATTGAACATCAAGTCCATTCAGGTGAAATTGATTTGTTAGTTGTAAGTATGATATAGAATGAGCTTGACTAAGCATCAACGGTCTTGCTGAATAGTTGAAGGTTGATAGAATTTGTTGGACACTTGATACTTGTTAAAAATATAAGAAGGGTTAGGACCAGTGGCGGAGCTATGTTTGCTGGTGTGGGACCCTACTTTTTTTTTAAAAAAAAAATTTCCGACTTTTCGAGAACTCTGTACTATGGTAAATCCATCTCTATATTGAAATTGATACATTGTCTCCCCTTAAAATTTTTAAATTTGTATCCCGCATGGAAAATGTTCACTAATTTTTTAATAGTAGCAATTTTGCAATGTATTACTGGGTATGTTGATTGGCATTCTCCAATTGAGTTGAGCTCCACATGGAAACAGGTTTTATCCACTAATTGCTGCAGATACCATCTTGTTTTTATGTATTTGAATGTAAATTATATTGTAAGTTTGTAACAGTACCTTAGGTGTTGATCACGCACCCACCGCGTATCACACATTGCACATAGTGAAAATGCCATAGTTGACTAAATAACCATATGGTGAGCTTCATCTGCTTCTGTTAGTCATACTAGTTGGTTGTTTTTGTTTCAAAAAATTAGGATGGATTCAATCATACTTTTATATGAGTGGTTGTATCGATTTGTATTTTTGACGTTGAGATTGATTTATGAGGAAATCAATCTTCGGTTTCACTGTTCTTGTGAGAAAATGCTCAATGTCAGCCTTAAGGCAACGTTAAGTTTTTGTTTCTTGTTTTGTATGTTTCGTAGGTCCTGGCTCAAGTGATTAGGTTTCATCCAAAAGTACCCGGGGTTTGGATTTATGCTGCCGCTTGGGAGTTTGACCACAACTTAAATGCTGCAGCTGCTCGTGCTCTCATGCAAAGGGGGTTGAGAGCATGCCCAAATTCAGACGATTTATGGATAGAATACCTCCGTATGGAACTCACATACCTTAATAAGTTAAAGGCTCGGAAGGTTGCTCTGGGGGATGATGAGGGAACACTAGTTCGTGATCGTCAAGATGAAGATGAGAAAGAATGGCGAGATGAAAACAAAGAACTATTTATGGCCCTTAACGGGAAAAAGGAGAATGACAGGGTATCAGATGTCCCAAATGACGAGGCCAAGAAGAAATTAGATTTGTTTCGGGAGCAAGGTTCGAGTATTTTTCGAACAGTTTACAATGGAGCACTTGAATCCCTCCCTTCTAGTTTCAGTCTCAGGACACGGTTTCTCGAGATTCTGGAAGCAACAGACTTGGCAGATTCAGAAGGAATGCGAAAGGAGATCCTTGCTGACATGAAAAGAGATTTTTCAAGGGAACCAGAGTATTGGGACTGGCTTGCAAGAGTTGAAACTGTTGACCATAGCAGTACACAAAAGATGGGTAAAGAAATTATGCCTGATCAATTACACAAAGCAATACAGGTATCTTTTAAACCACTTACCCTTATTCGTCCTTTTAGTGATATATGCATGTGTACCCATTGCTACAAAAACGACTCCTTAAATTGCAATTACAAATATTCACATATTGCTGCTCTTATGTGTGCCAGCGTCATTTCTTTTTCTTTTTCTTTTTTTTTTATGCATATCGGTGGTTTAAGTAATGTTCAGAATGTGAAGTTGTCACTTGAGAGAACATGAGTTTCGGGAGTTCATGGCTCTGTACTTCATGTTTGCGGTTCTGTATCTTAGTTAAGAGTTATTGCTCCTTTTTCAACTTCCTTATTAGCCATCTATTTTTTTTTTTTAGGTTCTTAGCTTTTTGTTGACTTCCTGGCTACCATGCTTGGTTCTGTTTTTGCTCATGTGCATATTGTCATCCAATGATCACCCTGCATATTCTGCCTCATGTAGGTTTATGACGAGGCTTTAAATATTGTGCCTTCAGCCACGATGGTTAAGCTTTATGCAAAGTTTTTGATGGAGCTTGTTGTTCATGAAAACGGAGAAATACAAACTACTGAAGTCGTCAGCACCTCTGGTTATACTGTAGATCCTGTTTCACATGTATTGATGGTATATGAAAGGGCTGAAACCATGAGATGCTGCACCAAAGATCTTGCTTGCGAACATGTTTCATTTTTGATGCAACTGCAAAGGTTAGATGAAGCAAGGAAGCTGGCAGAGAAGCTTTGTAGTGGTAAACTTTCAAATGCAGTGAGTCTATGGGTTTTACGACTCTCAATAGAGATGAGATGTGTTAGAAAACAATCTCCTTCTCCAAGCAAATCTGAACTGTCGTCGATCTTTGAACTCCTGAAAAATGTTCTGAACAAAGTTGCCATGTCAGAAGCTGAGAGCTTGTGGCTTATGGTAGGCAGACAATACTCCCAACTTTTTCCATTAGCTTCTGTCAACATTTATATTGCTATAATTGGGTTATTGACCGAATGCTGCTCCCACCTCCTCCCCTTCCTTCCTTGCCTGGGAAAAAAAAAGGAACAACCAAAAACACAAATTTGGATGTGGGAATTACCCTTCTTCAATCCTGTCATGCTTTGCTAACTTTATCATAGGACCCTAGAACTTGGGGCTGGAAGATTGCCATGTAAGAAAAGCCAAGGCACTTGAAGAGTCAAGCAGCCGAAGGATAAACTAGTTATCCAATGTGGCCATTTAATACACACACAGTAATTGTAAATTTATTTCAGTTTCTCATAGGATACTATCAGTTGAAGGAAATCTTTTATGGATCTGGTTGTTTTCCATCTCCCCCCCACCAAAAGAAGAAAAAGAAACCCCAAAAAAACCTTCCTCTGATCTTCATTCTTCTCTTTTCTCCTGTATTAGTCACAAAAATTGGATGATTGAGAGTCTAACGTAGTAAAGTCTATTAATTTTGTGTGTTCTGCAGGCCCTCAAATTTTTTGCAAACAAAGGGCGTTATTTTGATAAGCTGGTAGAGGTTTCCATGGTTTTATTGGCTAAAGATGGTGACAGCGATAGTGGATTTTCCCTTTCTTCAGCAATTGTAAATTTTGTTCTTCAAAAAGATGGAATACAGTGTGCGAGAGAGATGTATAAGCGGTATGTCACTGGATCATTAGCTGTTGACCTTTGTTTTCCTGGACTTGTCAAATTCACATTTGCCCTTCCATATAGCTTGTGATTCATTCAGATACATGGTCTTGAGAAGATACTGCCTTCTTGCATCAATGTGTTGAAAAATCCAATGTTAAATAATCATACATAATAATCAACTGGATGCTCTGCAGTTCTCAACATTTTGTCCTGTTTCATGTGCAGATTTCTAGCTTTACCTCATCCAGGTCTTGCAATATATAGAAATTGCATTGAACTGGAATTGAGCCTTGCATCTGCTGGTGACAAAGGTTGTCTTGTAGAAGCCCGGAAGTTATATGAATCTGCACTTACAACTTATGGGCAAGATGCGAGCTTGTGGCGAGCTTATCATTCTATGGAGATCAAGGTAAACTTGGTTTTCTTCTGCTTCCACAATAAATACGTGTTTAGGGTGATTTAGTGGCTAAGATTAGTCTCTGCAACACTGCGGTATGAGGATGGATCAGACTTGTATGCTTTTGGCCAAAATTAGTCCCAGGTTTAACCACCACTAGGTCTACACCACTTGGATAACAATCATCTTCCTGATTGACTTTCTCTAATTCCATTTTCCTGTTGAATGTTATTCAATTTCTTGTCATATACCACGCAGAAATTGACTGCTGCTTTTCCCTAATTTCCAGATGGGAACACCAGAAACTGCTGCTGCTGTCCTTTGGCGTGCACGAAAAACACTTAGAGACGACAACATTGCAGTACTTGTTTATACAGTTTTGTGATGGAATATCTATATGCCAATCACTTTCAATTTTGACTAGCCCGATCTTTCTTTTTTACGTATCTTTGTTCTTTCCCCCCTCAACCAATTGATGTGTCCGAGGGGGGAAAACGTGAGAGCTAGTCATTAGTTGATTTTTGGGACGGAATCGTGCAAACTTATTATATTTTTTATGCCATACCCAACCATAGGATCTCTGTTTGCTTTTGGATTTGCTACTTGAGATGATACAACTTCAGGGCAACGAGGTGGTCAGATTATTCTCTTGAAGACATCTCGTTGCTTAGTAATATCTTCACAACCATCGACGTATAACTTGGGCTAATGAGCATTTGTCATTGTTTGAAGTCCTACCTCTAGCCTTTGTAGTGCACGTAGAGCAGAAGCAAAGTATAGAATGGACAAAGCTTTTATAATGCATTGTCTGGACTCAATTAAGCCAAATCAAGAGAGTACAGTAAGGGAAACTTCAGCCAACGGTGCTAGGTGTACAAGTTTTTCATCCTTCAACCCTACATTGAAGCATGACTCACTAAACTGAAAGATATACGAGAGACCTTACACTAAATAGCCATTTAACTGAGTAACAGACCTAGGGGAACAACATGAAGACACAGGACAGGAGTAGATATATGAGCTCCTTTGTGTGTCTGTGAGAGAGAGAGAGAAAGAGAGAGAGAGAGAGAGAGAGAGAGAGAATTCTGCAGAAAGCCATATTTGATGACAGTCATATGTACGACTTTTAGGGAGGTGCTAATGGGGTAAAAAAGTCAAAATAGACGACTTTAGTTTTAGCCTTTATAAAAAAAAAATTGATTCTTCAACCCATTTCAGGCTCACGGTATAAATTGCTCCAAACACTGGTGTGCAATCTAATTTACATGAAAAAATCCCAGAATTTGCTAAATATTTTGATACACTAAATTACATTATTTCTTTCTTTCAATGGAACGGGAAACCTACTCCTCTACACTCTTGGCCACTGTGGACTCACGACCTGCAAGAGCCAATGAAAACATCAGATAAGACTATTAGAGGAACGTTACCCAGTTTAACCAGTGATAACATTTATTGTTTAACATGTATCCTAAACAAGAATCACCATCAAATTTATTATAATGATGATTTTAAAGATGATGATGATGATGATTTCAAACATTTAGAGAAAAAAAATTGGGAACCATTGTTAGATGCTAGAAAGTATAACTGACCTCAAGAGTGCTAAACACTAATCTCATTCGGCTAGCAACAACTGATGGCTCCTCAGCATAACCCACCACTGCCATTTGCTCAAGTTGAAGAGTCTTCACTGGAAGCCTTGGGTATACACAACAAAATATAATGTTACTTCTTCTTAGTTCAAGTATCTACAATGTCGATTAAGACCAAAGACCAAAGCTTACAGATGGTTAGTAAAAGGAAACAAAGCACTTCAGATCATGAAGGAATGATGACGTATTTTAAGAGCTACCCAAATATTTGAATTCAAAACAGAATACGATGACAGCAACTCACCAGGCCATTCCTCTCATATAGTAAGCATTTGCTATAACCGCACAAAAGCCTTTCCACTGAAGTATCATTTCCTCTGACACTGGAGGCGTGGATGACCATCGAACTATAGTTGGTTGTGGTGTACAGAGGATGGTGATGAATATGATGCTCAACCACAAAATACACTCATCAACCTGCAATGTGAAATACGAAATAATTACCCATCTCACTTCTTGACCATTCCAGTAGATGATTAATTTTTTTCTGTTCATGTGGAAAAAAACTGCATGTCCCATCAAAAGAATTAGAATGATCAGATCATTGAACTTTTTTTTTTTAAAAGAAATTGGAGAAAATGAGGCAGAAAGGGTAAAGAACTACAATTTCCCATCAAAGGTTTGCTATATGCGTGTG